GCCTCTTATCGGATTGTAAGCCTTATCATTGTCATAAGCTGGAAGACGTTTTCATTGCTGTATTTTTATCCAGTTTATTCGAAACATGTCTCGATGACTCCACCAGATATCGATTACGGCACGAGATACCCGATCATTCACTATTCGATAGTCCTCTTCAATACATTTGCGTCTTATCGGATTGTAAGCCTTATCATTGTCATACGCTGGAAGACGTTTTCATTGCTGTATTTTTATCCAGTTTATTCGAAACATGTCTCGATGACTCCACCAGATATCGATTACGGCACGAGATACCCGATCATTCACTATTCGATAGTCCTCTTCAATACATTTGCCTCTTATCGGATTGTAAGCCTTATCATTGTCATACGCTGGAAGACGTTTTCATTGCTGTATTTTTATCCGGTTTATTCGAAACATGTTATCCAGTTTATTCGAAACATGTCTTGATGACTCCACCAGATATCGATTACGGCACGAGATACCCGATCATTCACTATTCGATAGTCCTCTTCAATACATTTGCCTCTTATCGGATTGTAAGCCTTATCATTGTCATAAGCTGGAAGACGTTTTCATTGCTGTATTTTTTATCCAGTTTATTCGAAACATGTCTCGATGACTCCACCAGATATCGATTACGGCGTCGGATTGTAAGCCTTATCATTGTCATACGCTGGAAGACGTTTTCATTGCTGTATTTTTATCCAGTTTATTCGAAACATGTCTCGATGACTCCACCAGATATCGATTACGGCACGAGATACCCGATCATTCACTATTCGATAGTCCTCTTCAATACATTTGCGTCTTATCGGATTGTAAGCCTTATCATTGTCATACGCTGGAAGACGTTTTCATTGCTGTATTTTTATCCGGTTTATTCGAAACATGTCTCGATGACTCCACCAGATATCGATTACGGCACGAGATACCCGATCATTCACTATTCGATAGTCCTCTTCAATACATTTGCGTCTTATCGGATTGTAAGCCTTATCATTGTCATACGCTGGAAGACGTTTTCATTGCTGTATTTTTATCCAGTTTATTCGAAACATGTCTCGATGACTCCACCAGATATCGATTACGGCACGAGATACCCGATCATTCACTATTCGATAGTCCTCTTCAATAAATTTTCCTCTTATCGGATTGTAAGCCTTATCATTGTCATAAGCTGGAAGACGTTTTCATTGCTGTATTTTTATCCAGTTTATTCGAAACATGTCTCGATGACTCCACCAGATATCGATTACGGCACGAGATACCCGATCATTCACTATTCGATAGTCCTCTTCAATACATTTGCGTCTTATCGGATTGTAAGCCTTATCATTGTCATACGCTGGAAGACGTTTTCATTGCTGTATTTTTATCCAGTTTATTCGAAACATGTCTCGATGACTCCACCAGATATCGATTACGGCACGAGATACCCGATCATTCACTATTCGATAGTCCTCTTCAATACATTTGCGTCTTATCGGATTGTAAGCCTTATCATTGTCATACGCTGGAAGACGTTTTCATTGCTGTATTTTTTTATCCAGTTTATTCGAAACATGTCTCGATGACTCCACCAGATATCGATTACGGCACGAGATACCCGATCATTCACTATTCGATAGTCCTCTTCAATACATTTGCCTCTTATCGGATTGTAAGCCTTATCATTGTCATAAGCTGGAAGACGTTTTCATTGCTGTATTTTTATCCAGTTTATTCGAAACATGTCTTGATGACTCCACCAGATATCGATTACGGCACGAGATACCCGATCATTCACTATTCGATAGTCCTCTTCAATACATTTGCGTCTTATCGGATTGTAAGCCTTATCATTGTCATACGCTGGAAGACGTTTTCATTGCTGTATTTTTATACGTTTATTCGAAACATGTCTCGATGACTCCACCAGATATCGATTACGGCACGAGATACCCGATCATTCACTATTCGATAGTCCTCTTCAATACATTTGCGTCTTATCGGATTGTAAGCCTTATCATTGTCATACGCTGGAAGACGTTTTCATAGTCCTCTTCAATACATTTGCGTCTTATCGGATTGTAAGCCTTATAATTGTCATACGCTGGAAGACGTTTTCATTGCTGTATTTTTATCCAGTTTATTCGAAACATGTCTCGATGACTCCACCAGATATCGATTACGGCACGAGATACCCGATCATTCACTATTCGATAGTCCTCTTCAATACATTTGCGTCTTATCGGATTGTAAGCCTTATCATTGTCATACGCTGGAAGACGTTTTCATTGCTGTATTTTTATCCAGTTTATTCGAAACATGTCTCGATGACTCCACCAGATATCGATTACGGCACGAGATACCCGATCATTCACTATTCGATAGTCCTCTTCAATACATTTGCCTCTTATCGGATTGTAAGCCTTATCATTGTCATAAGCTGGAAGACGTTTTCATTGCTGTATTTTTATCCAGTTTATTCGAAACATGTCTTGATGACTCCACCAGATATCGATTACGGCACGAGATACCCGATCATTCACTATTCGATAGTCCTCTTCAATACATTTGCGTCTTATCGGATTGTAAGCCTTATCATTGTCATACGCTGGAAGACGTTTTCATTGCTGTATTTTTATCCGGTTTATTCGAAACATGTCTCGATGACTCCACCAGATATCGATTACGGCACGAGATACCCGATCATTCACTATTCGATAGTCCTCTTCAATACATTTGCGTCTTATCGGATTGTAAGCCTTATCATTGTCATACGCTGGAAGACGTTTTCATTGCTGTATTTTTATCCAGTTTATTCGAAACATGTCTCGATGACTCCACCAGATATCGATTACGGCACGAGATACCCGATCATTCACTATTCGATAGTCCTCTTCAATACATTTGCCTCTTATCGGATTGTAAGCCTTATCATTGTCATAAGCTGGAAGACGTTTTCATTGCTGTATTTTTATCCAGTTTATTCGAAACATGTCTCGATGACTCCACCAGATATCGATTACGGCACGAGATACCCGATCAGTCACTATTCGATAGTCCTCTTCAATACATTTGCGTCTTATCGGATTGTAAGCCTTATCATTGTCATACGCTGGAAGACGTTTTCATTGCTGTATTTTTATCCAGTTTATTCGAAACATGTCTCGATGACTCCACCAGATATCGATTACGGCACGAGATACCCGATCATTCACTATTCGATAGTCCTCTTCAATACATTTGCCTCTTATCGGATTGTAAGCCTTATCATTGTCATACGCTGGAAGACGTTTTCATTGCTGTATTTTTATCCAGTTTATTCGATACATGTCTCGATGACTCCACCAGATATCGATTACGGCACTAGATAACCGATCATTCGCTATTCGATAGTCCCCTTCAATAGATTTGGGTCTTATCGCATTGTCAGCTTTACCATTGTCATTAGCCGGAGGACTTTGTCATTGCTGATTTTTCGGTGTATTCGAAGCATGTGTCGATGATGTCTGAATAATGAAGGACCCTTCGTGTTGACCCACTTAAGCGTCCATGCTACACAATCGTCCATATACCTGATATTATAATACAAAAGGCTTGTTCTGAGCCAGAATTTAACGCTGCATTCTTTTATTTTGTTTCAAGTTTCTCTATTTTCATCCGGTTTCAACTCATTGATCTGACTCCGAACTTCAATAACAAAAGGATAGTGTTTATAGCCACACTTGTTTGTAGCCGGAGTCGCTTAAAATTTGCGCCTTTGTATGGAGGTCGGAATTGGTAGGCACTATCACGTAATTGTGGGACCCATAGATAATTGTTACGGATAGGAGTTAGTTTCTACGGTGCGTTAAGGTACCAGGCAGCCGGCCGGTTGAAAAAAAATAAGTTAAGAACGTCATTTACATGCTGTGCTGACCCCACTTTCAATAGGGTTATGACAAAGATAGAGAAATAAAGAATATTGAACGTGCCGTAACGAAAACTTCAACATGCAATAACTCGGCGTAAAGTATACCTAATTGTCGTCACTTCAAAGCCGTATAAATACAGTTATTATATGGACACACGTAAATCCCATAAGGGAGCGGTCGTCACTAGACCCGATAATACAAAATTAGTGATGTTAATCGTAAATAGTATGTAATATTTAGTAGTTAATAAACCTAATATCCTAAATTCAGCAATTTCTTTCGAGTAACGATCGGGAAGTTTTTCATACAAATACAAACAATATCATGGCTTGATTAAATAAATTAATGGCAGTAAACCCTAATAGGCGTGGTCTGTAACGAAGAAATGTTATTATTCGGAAAATATTCATCTTTCATTGATGTTCTTTTTTCATTTCGAAGACTATTAAATCTTCATCGAACTCAGAGCCTATTTATTTAGGGAGCAATGGAACGCGTGTCTGAAGACGTGTGTTACAATTTGCGACTAGCTTACACGCTATGTCGCAAATGACATCGCATAATGCGTTATGTCACGAGTTTTACATTTACCAATTACTCTACTCACAAACTATCATAGTCGTCTTGCGACATAAAACCATTCCAAATGATTATAGTAAATAGAAATGTTGACCGCTAACTTACCATCAGGCGAATATTAAATAGCTAATATGAAAACCAAATATAAGTCCAGGCCTGTCTGAATTCAAGTTTTTGAAAGGATGAGTACAGAAAAGTATCCCACTGCAGAGCAAAATCCCCTTTTTTACAGAGGGCAGCATAGTAGTAATGCACCATTTAACTTTATTTTATTCTTTCTTTATTGTCATGCATGTTACTACATAAAAAAGGGAACATTTCAAAGATGTATCGCCACGTATGAAATTGTTTACATCGAAATTCAAATTTTGGCACCAATGGTACTGTCAATATAAATGCGAGAGTAGGAACAGTGAGATATAACGAAATGGAACCTGATTTTTATTTTAAAAAATTTAAGGTAAATATCAACAATAATAACTAAAAATACTAACAAAGGAGTTTATGATGACTCACCGTAGCAAGGACCTCATGGCGTTTCCTCGCCTGCAACATGGTGATCTTTTGAACATGGTCGAGTGCCGTGTGACGAAAACAAGAGCGGGTGGCGAGCAACAAATTCACCACCTCTTCTATATCATTGGCCTTGTGACGGGAGACCTGTAAAATTTGTAAAATTTATGAGATAAAGTTAATAGTGCAACGACAAATATGGCAGGATCTTCTTGTTAACAAATTGTTCTGAAATTTGGTACCCACCTTTAGTTCTGATGACAATACAATTTAATACATTCAGTGTCATTGTAAATTCAAGATGACCGCGGCTACAAAATGGCGGATTACATATTCTATCACTACTTCCTCGATATGGATATCAAATGAAAGGGCTTGAATATCAGAATAGGGTTATCTATGAAAATAAATTAAAATCCAATATTGTCAACAATCCACTGTCCACAAAATGCAAGGCAACTACAGTGTTGCCATTTACCTATTTACCCAGGATAGGCGCGCCCAACTATTATATTTTTTGTCTGATCATTCCCCTAAATTGATGAGGAGAGTGGTGTGATGACTAGTATCTAGGTCCTACCGAATTATTTTTTGCTTTTAGTACAGTATCTACATTATTTCAATCTTTATTTTCAATAAAACCGTTTAACTTAAAAAAAATTTTTACTCATTTTTTATTCCTTATACTGGCCCAATAATAGGCAAAATAAATACCATGCAATGTAGTATGATTGTATAATACATATTTATTTTATCTCATACAAGTATGTTTAATTTTTCTCAATAAATTGGTTAAAAATACGGATAGTTTGGATCATTTTTTTAATTATTTTAACTTTTAAACAGTCAAATACTATGTATTAGAATTCTCACTAAATAAGACCAAAAGTAGATCACCAAAATGATTACCTGTGAGTTTCTTATTAAAGCTATATCCAGATCATTTGAGATTTTATCAAAGTGATGCTTGCTTTCCTTAACACCTTTAACGTCTCTGTAACAAACAAACATAACACAAATATAACTTAATATTAAGTGATGACTTTTATACACTGTGTTTTATCATAAAATATCTCACTTTATTGATAATTGAAGTTCAGATAACTTAAACGTAAGTTGCTACAAAAATATTTTTTTCTAAAAGATTGACACTCATTGCATTAAATTTTAGAAAAAATTTTTCCTCCCATTTTACAAAAGCAGGAAAAAGTTTTTTTTAAAGAAAAGTGATCAGTTATTTTCACAAATAACAATTCAGAAATTCATTAATGCACACAATTGGGAGTAGGCCAAACAAAGCAAACAGCAAGTCAACAACCAAGAGACAATCTCGTGGTTGGGATGGATAAAATAATTAAATTAAAACTATGAAATTTTTGGATTTGATGGATTTACAATGAAAAGGTCTTAGTGAATACTTTATATAAATTAAGTATTGCTGTGTAAAATAATAAAATAAGGTATAAGGTTTTGAATACAAGTACATATTTGGTTTAGCAAGATTTGTTTTATTTGGTTGTAACTTACATTTTTATAAAAGCTGAGAGATTCTTTAGAACAGTCCTGGAAGCCTGGTCCAACAGTATTGAATGAAATTTATTCATTTCTTGTAGGGCATGTATCATACGGTTAAGATTAGCCATGACAGTGGGATCCTCCGAAAAACTACTGCTTAAGTCCCACAAAGCATTTGTAAATGAGCTAAAAACATTGACAAAGTTATATAAAGTTAAAAATATAATCATTTTATTCTGATATATCTATATATATGCTGGCTGCGTTCTCAAGAAACCTGAGTTCAAATCCCCGTGCCAGCAGCTATGGCTATATAATTGTTATTTGCAACTTTAATTGTTGCCTTACATGCCTATACTTATCACATTGTTCTTGGTGAAGGAAAATATCGTAAAAAAAAAACTACAAATTAAACTTCAAAGATATGTGAAATCTTTTAATCCACATTGGGGTTGCATGGTACACTATGCTGTAATATCCTCTTAACAGAGGAGACTTTGCCCAGCACTGGGTTATACAAGTGCTATTACTTTACCAAGTCAAGTATTACCTTTGGTAATATAAACTTTGATAAAATATATAATGTCAGTTATCGAAAGGTAGTATTATAAAATAATAATTCACTAAAAAAACCATCACCAAGTGACATAACCAAAACTAAAAAAATACAATAAAGTAAAAAATTACAAAATAGATAAGTTATTAGTAATAAATTTAGTCTAACTGAGCATGGATGTTTAAATAAAAACAAAGTAGCACAATAACACTTACCTCCGGTGAGTCATGTATGTTTTCCCTGCTTCTATCATAAACGAGCAGGTTTTGAGAACCTTATCAAGCTTTTGTTCAAAAGCGTCGATGCCGGCTTCTTCCGTTTCCAGCTGTTCCCTATGAAAGTCAGGCGATTGAACATTAAAATTAAAAACACGTCTTAAATTTCACTTTCTATGTGCAAATCTCATTGACGTAGTATTTAACACCATACCGAAATTTTGGTGAGTCCCTAAGGCATTCATCAAAATCGATTAAAGGCTTCATTTTAACTACGGTAATTTATTAAAAATATTTATTTAAAACATTTTTATATGTAAAACAAATAGATTCATTTGACGTCGTTAAGTTAAACTGACCAACACCAACAATAAACGTAAAACAGATATGAAATGACATTTTAAATGGCACAGTATCACCAAAATGGATAGATTCAAAGCAAGAACAAAAAAATAATTACGCTAATAATATTTTAATTATTTACTACACAGAAAGTAAGTTCTGCGGAACAAGTGTTTGACTGAATCTGGAAAGGTGAACGTGATCATCACTCCAACTTATGTTGTAATATTTTTTTATTATAAAGGTTTACTTCCTAGACTTAACGCCGCGGTGACAAGAGAGCTGGTTCTTTTCTCTCTCAAAGGTCAAGCATAACTATTAGCGAGGAAATGTAGCTAGCCTTCTTGATACCATGTCGTGTTTTTTTTTTTTATGTGATAGGTTGCCAAACGAGCAGACGGTTCACCTGATGTTAAGTGAATACCGCCGCCCATGGATATCTGCTACACCCGAGAGTTCCAAATGACAACCTTTTGAAAATTGGGCTCCGGCCACCTCAATCACCAGACGAAACGCGAAAGTATTATACTTCCACTTTACGCCGGTCTTCTGTGAGGTCGTGGTACTTACCCGGACGAGCCAGCCCATTCGTGCAACAGCCGAGGCTGCTGCGTGGCCCTACCACCGTAGATTAGGTTTATTAAATATTATGTTATTTAATGTTGTAAATGTTGGATAAATAAATTGAATATAATTTGTTTACTTGCAATTGTCTTTAAAATGTTTTTTTCGTAAAAGGTTATATTAAAAAAAAACGTTTAAAACTGTTATCTATTCTTTCAAACATACAGATGAATTTGTAGATGAATCAAAATATTATTTCTAAGTAATAACGACCATTTTTCTTGGATTTCATCATGGAAATGGTTTAACAGTGTTCACTAATACGCAAAAGATGTTGTTTCGTCTTTTGAAATCGTTAGAATGCCAAAAAAACTTATACCATCATTTGCTAGCCAACAAAATATTGATGTCTTGAGACTCTGTCAACTAGATTCTTTTCACTGCTGGGATGGCTGTTTTAAGCATACGCTTACTTAGAGTCGATACACCCAGGTGCGACCGAAGCATTAGTGTTTATAGAAAATTTTCTAAAAAATTAAATACAACCGTTTTCCACCCCAAAGGGAAGAAAACGATTATTTCAGGTCTGTAACGATGTTTACTGCCGAGGCAAGACCTTTCGGAGATTACTTACCCTTCCTAACCTCGCACACATACGCTATCTACTTACTATTATCTGTCTCTGAATGGATTCAAGGCCGCCGCGAAGGATGCGCGGGGAGAGGCGGCTACAGGCGCGGGTTACGTCACCGCGCTCTCGTCATTACCTGTCTCCGAATAGCCGGCAAGGGTTTTCTCAGGTCTTGACCTTTCGGAGAAGCGTTTATAACTGTCGGAGCTCCAAAGCATACTGTGACTGGTGACTGAAATAAGTCCTTGTAAGGTCGTAATCAGATGAACATGAATAAAATATTAAGTCCATATTAAAAAATAAAACTTTATAATCTAAGTATTTTCATACCTAAAGATTTTAATAATTAGATTAATGAGGGGCTGATGAGGGAACTCCGAACTTCTTATTGGGGTGCTCGTCGGAGAGTTTTCGACTGGCCCTCTGAATCTGCCTGGTGTTAAGACGACCAAAGAGAGTTTCCAAGGCTGCGAAACCTAGTTTTTCTAATAGGGCTGTGCGTGACTTCCAAGACCATCGACCAGTTTTAAATATTTTCTAGGTCTATCACTAATCGCGCTTTTTTTTGCGTCTGGTAAATTCATCTGGTTTGACGCTGTGTTCCACACAATACCGAGATAGAAGAGAGAATTCCGAGAGAGAATTCTACCCGCCTCTTTACGTCGGTTTTCGAAAACCACCCCTTGGAAATTTACTTTTCCTGGACATTTCTGATAGTCGCTAGAGCCGACACGTGTTAGAGTGGACACCACGGTTAGGAAAACGAAGTGTGGGACGGCCTGCAGCACGATGGACTGACGACTTAAAGAAAGTGGCGGATGAATGCGGGCTGCCCAGGACCGGGATAGTTGGCGCAATTTGGGGGAGGCTTCGGTTCAGCAGTGGACGACAATGGGCTTATATTGTATTGTTGGATATTTCTCTTTGGCATAAAAAATACGACTTACTCCCCCATTACAAATCTTCACAAATGCTGAGAACTTTTTGTCATCGAACGGGGAGGCTCCGAGGGGGGAATCTGTTATAACGCCGCAAACAACACTATTACGGGGCTTGAAGGATCTTTGTCTAGACTCAAAAGTTTTTGCCCGATGAGCACACACGTATTGAAGTACGTTATCGGATAATTTTCTAAACTGGGAGTCCTTTCCAAGAACACATCGCATTTGTTCTGCAGCCTCCGGATATCTTTTGGAAATCTCTTTGAAATTCTCAGCCAGAGCCTTTCTATGCACGAGGAGTCCATGGACAATAGTACCTAGCAATCCGTCTTGCTTTAAAAGCTAACCTGATGGCTGCGTAATTGAGCTAAACTCTGTAAATTTTAGTGAGCTTAAGTTTTAGTGAGCTAAAAACTGGTGCCGCTAGAAGGAGTTTGTCCACTTCTTTGTAACGAATTCGGTTCCACCCCTCCATGCCCAACCGCTGGTACTCGATGCCTTCCCTCTTTATCTGTGTGATGGGTTCTGGCATCAGTGGATCAGCTTGTTTTACCTGTGGTAGGAAATCAAATTCTGATGGAGAAAGTAGTTCCTCCCCCGGTCTTATTGGGGTCTTCCACGAAGAACAGACGTCAGAGCCTTCCAAGTTAATATCCCCAGAGCCTAAGCAATCGTCATCGGAATCTAACTCAGGAAGCGTACGATTTACTGAAGGCTGAACCGCTTCGATCTTTTCCATGAGGATGGTGAACATAATATCCATCTTCCTCTCTAACGCATCATGCCTGGACGTTAAAGGAGACCTCTTTCTACGCTTTTCTCTGGCTCTATTACTCATTAAGACACTCCTCCGCTAACGACAAGTTCCCTCAGACTCAGAAAGATTGCCCGCCAGTATCCTGTCCGCTTCAGCTCGTGTATGTAGAAGCGTTTGAATTGCTTCAATAGACTCCTTAACGAGCTCGGTGCGTACTGCTGAGCCTCGGATGCGGTTTGCCACGGCTGGCGGACCTAGAATTTGGCCCCACTTTCTGAGTGAACGCCCAATCTAGCAGTTTGCACCCTATTTCTCCGAAAGATGATCCGTCTCTGGTATGAAAGCCCGACTAAGCCTACAGTAGGCAAGGCAAATATGAGCTTGAGCTTGTTTAACATTTGCTTCGAGCTTTTCTCCAAAAAGTTCTTCTCTTGTGGCGGTGGTAACTCGATTTTTGGGCCAAGCCGGCGAATGTTTTAGCGGCGCCGGCCAATTTTTGAGCCAACCCGCCCGATTTTTGAGCCGTGCCGCCCGATTTTTGAGCCGTACCACCCGATTTTTGAACAGCGCCGCTTAAATTTTGAGGGACGCCTTCCAATATTGGGTGCTGATCAGCTTTCGGGTATCGATCAGTAAGACAATGACAATTGGCCAACATGCCGAACAATTGCAGCAATCGTTTTGTGGGCTGAAATGTAGTATTCAGTACGTTTATTTTGGATGGCATATCCGACAAATACGAAAAATACTTAACACAACGTTTTTGGATGGTGTGTCCGACAAACATGACATGTAAATCTATAAAGCACTAGCGACCCTACCCGGCTTCGCACGAGTGCAGTGTATTATACATATGAACCTTCTCTTGAATCACTCTATCTAGTAAAAAAAAACCGCGTCAAGATCCGTTGTGTAGTTTTAAAGATCTAAGCATACATAGGGACAGACAGAGAGCGGGATGACTTTGTTTTATACTATGTAGTTATCACAGAACACTAATACTCTCACGAGTAGTGATGCACAGCAAAGAGACGTTTACATTTCAAGTGACATTTTACTTCAGTCACTCACTTGTTTTGCCTTCCCGGAACCCCTCCACTAACAATTAAACTTTATGGTATAGTAATAAAGTTCAAATTGACTTTTAAGTATTATTACGAATCTTTTGTACAGGAATATAGAAAAGTGTTGTTTTTAGATTTTTTTCAGGCAATTTTTTTCTTTCATAAGAACCTTCTCCTGATAATAACAAACACAACCAAAAAAAATCAGTCCAGCCGTTCAGGCGTGATGGCGTGACCAAGGGAAAAAGAGATTCATTTTTATATATATAAGATGGAACCAAAGCTAAAAATCTTCTTTTACAGGCGAATCCGCACCTTAAACAGAAAAATACAGACAAACTGTAAACATATTAAGCAATTAAGCAAAGCAAATAGCATACTTGCGCACGCTAGGAATACATAAGCGTACTGACGAGAGCGCGGTGACGTAACTCACGCCTGCCACCACCTCTTCCCGCACACCCTTTGCGGGGGCCTTGAAGCCATTCAGAGACAGATCATAGTAAGTAGATAGCATACGTGTGCGTGGTTAGGAAGGGTAAGTAATCTCCGAAAGGTCAAGCAGAGGCAGACTCACGCAGAGGTATCATTAACGTAAAATTTACGATAAATGTGATTTCTTAAAAAAAACGGTGAAGTTTGAGTCGGATCCGCGCATGAAGAGTTCCTTATCATTATGTATAAAAACGGCATAAAAAATGATGTCTGTTGTATGGGAGCCCCATTTAAATTTTACATTCTATCTATCACGGTTCATGAAATACACCATAGATGATACCTATATACAGACACAGCCTGGTGACAAAGTGAGAGGCATCGGAGTCTTAGTTATAGGGTTCCATTTTTACCCTTTACATACAGAACCCTAAAAAAGCACTTACTTACTATTTACATTATTCCAGGGTCTATGAATATACCCTCGTATAACGAATTTCAACTATGGATAAGAATGTCAGTGACCTCGAATCTAGAATGACCGCAATCTGTCAACACTCATTTACAAGGCCAGCTTGCAAAAGAAATCAATTCTCTACTTTTATTAAAAAAAATTCTATACTTTAAAAAAAATCTGTTTGTCATTATTATTACATTTGATGATAACGGTTAAATTAAACAGGTAAAGAGTAATATTTAATTAGACAACAACAATTTTAGTTTTATTATAAACACAACGGTAATAAAATGTCTACTTTTCTTTTAAATGATAGTCGATAGAATATATTAAGTACCTTCATAATTATATAATTATGTTTCATTTCTGAAGGGGAAAGCATAGGATGATAATCACTTTTCTTACCTAAAGTGGCCCAGTCTGCATTGCCCTCGGCCGCTTTATGCAGGATTGGTTGAATATTCTGTGTTAAATCAATCCTGCATAATACGAATTTATCATTTATGAGAATGGAAGACTCAAGAAGATAATCAATTCAAGGAAGTATTAATGCTTTTTTTACAGTGCTTTGGGGGAATTACGAAAATGCGATCTGGAAACCCTGCACCAATGTCAAATCCGACAATATAAATCACTTGACATTGACATAAAAACAAACAGCTTAGTGGAAAGTTGCTCATTACTCAGTTCTTAGCATTATAGATTATGAGTGAAAATATATAACATAAAATATTAAAGTAGAACGTAAAAAGTGAGTGAAAATGAATGTTAACAAAGAAACGACTACTTTTAAAAACAATCATTTTATAACACTTCTATTAAGTATTATTGCTATTCCGCTATCCATGTCTTTGTGGATAATTAATTTAATTTATTCAAAATTGGTAAACCGAAATGACGGTTTTGATGGTGAGTTTTAATAAGAGGATGTAATTAATAAATATTTTTTATATTTATAACATCACTTTTTAATGAATTCTATTTCAGAGCCTGTAGTAATATCTCCTGCACGTTGGATGGCTTCCTGCCTTATACCTATACTTATATGTGTCTATGGATACAAGAAAAAGTCACTTAGTTTCAGTGGTACACTTTTAGGGTTTGTTGTTGGATTTGTACTCACATTGGCTAATCTTTGTTTCTTTGTGGATCTGTTTACATTTTTTATAACTTCCTCTAAAGTTACTAAAGTAAAGGCACATTTGAAAAGAAAAATTGAAGAAGATTATAAAGAAGGTACATATTTCCATCTTAATAATATTCGTAATGTAAACCCCCATTATTATTTAATATTAATCAATTTCTTTATTCCGATTTATATATGTATGATAATTACAGGAGGCCAAAGAAATTGGATTCAAGTTATGTGTAATGCTGGCATGGCAACTCAACTAAGTTTATTATATTTATTAGATGTTGGTGCTTCCGAGAGGCCAATCGATTTTATAAACGACTATAGAGCATCTTGGCTTTCTTTGGGTGTAGTAGGTAAGTTCTTTTACTTTAACAAAGTATCTTCAGAAAAGATTTTCCAAATTTTTGATTTTAAATCATTCAAATTTTGAAAAAAATGTATGAAATTATTTGAAAAGCTGTTTTATTCAACTTTTGTTTTGTTGACCTTGCATGAGTCCATATTTTTTTAGGTGTTCTTGCATGCTGTAATGGTGACACATGGGCATCAGAATTAGGCACAGTCTTCAGTAAAGATGACCCGATACTTATAACATCATGGAGAAGAGTTCCGAAAGGAACTAATGGAGGAATAAGTCTCATTGGAACAATTTTCAGTACACTTGGAGGTCTTTGCATAGGGATATCTCATTATTTAGCAGTACTTTATTTTTCAGACAAAGGTCTTTGGACATATGGGCCACCGCAGTGGCCTTTAATTTTATTAGGTGCTTTAGCAGGATTTTTTGGTAGCTTTATAGACTCAGTTTTGGGGGCTACTTTGCAATATTCTGGTAAAAATTCTTTTCTTTTTTTGAGTGTAAATAATGTAATTTTGTTGTATAATTTTGTGTAATTAATGTATTTACATGATAATTGTTGATTTTCAGGTTTGGATAAGGATGGAAAAGTTGTAGCACAATCAAATCAAGCTGTTAAACACATCAGTGGCATAAGCATATTGGACAATCACAGTGTAAATCTTATATCGACTATAATCATGGGATTGTTAGTACCCACTGTTAGCAAAACTATGTGGCCATTGTTTTAAAAATTTATATGTGAAGACTGAGAAATACTTTTATTGGTTACTGGATTAGAAAATTTTTGAATGCGGGTAATGAGAATTTCCTTTTACAAACATATCATAAAAAATTAAAATTTATTGCAGTTGGGTTTTTTTTTTCTGGGTCAAGTACCTATTTATATCGCAAATATAAATGTTTATTACAGAAATTTCTTATTTTATTAACACAATCTATAATTGCAAGTTAAATCTCAGTGTTGTCTGTGGTAATAAATCGAGTTTTGGTGTTGTTTAAAAGAATTATTGTTCAGACAAATTAACTCTTTATATTATATTTATTACTGAATATAAGAACCAACAAATGTTCACAGAATTATTCGGCCAAATAATTCAGACCAAATTGGTCATAGATAGTAAGATACTAATGGCATTATGTAGTAGCAAATTAAATTCTATCCTATTTGTGATTGTAAACTTTGTTTGCGTTTGACCTTTACCTACAGCAAAGGGGTGCTGTTCATAATGCTCTGGTCTGAACTGTAGTTTTCTGCTCAGTAATGTAGTTTGCAATCATCAGCATTGGTTATTGGAAGTATTACAAAGATGACATTTGAAGGTCTACAAATTTATCCAATTAATCACAGTATAAAAAAATAACTGACAAAAAATTTAATGACTATAAAAATAATAATTTATATTACATTAAATTAATGTGTTGATATGAGTAGATAGATATCGAGAGACTTATGAAAACTTATTTGAGCAAATGTCTATATTTTTATGGTAGCGAAAAAATCCTAACCCGACCCGCCCGATTTTTTATTTTTTAAAAAAATGATTTAAAATACTTTTTTAAGCTTCAATTCTAGCTAAATTTTATTTAGAGAACATTGATCTGAAATAAATCTTTAATTATGTTGAAGTATTTTTTTTACAAATAAATGATTGTTAAGTACTAAATTATAGTAAAATGATAGATTCTAATTAAAATACCTACATTGTAAAAAAAATATTTAAATATAATAAAACCAGAATTACCTATGTTGAATTTTATTTTGCTAATGAACAACGCCTAACCAAGGCAGTAGTGTTGCACAACCATCGATATTTGACTATCGATAGTTGACCTCGAAAACTATTCAGGATATCGATTGTACTATCGATAATATCGTCTAAGTCAATACTGTCGATACTACCGATAGTATCGATGGCTCTCCAAGTACCAATACTATTGATAACAGAAATACTATCGATAGTATTGTAATTGCTATTAGTTTTTGACAAAAACTGTCTATATTATCGATAGCCTCGATAGGTTTCTACTATTGATAGCCAGTAAAAGGCTATTGATAGTATAAAATCATCGATAGTATCGATAGTTTTTGTCAAAAACTAATGGCAATTGCAATACTATCGCATGCATTATTATCGATACACGCACACACGAGTATTGCTGTTATCAATAGTATTGGCACTTGGAGAACCATCGGTAGTATTGACACGTGACAATACTATCGATAGACTACCGATACTATTGCTTCTAACTTAACTATCGATAGATAATCGATTGTCTATCGATAGCAGACTATGGATATGCAACACTACAAGGCAGTGTTTTTGCTTGTTTGATTGATAAACAAATAGCTTGTACGAGTTCCAGAATAAAGCCTATTTAATTGCCGAATATTCGGCCGAAAACATAAAAAATAAGCCAAAAACTATACAAATTTTGGTTGAACATGCAACGTATTTTATTTAATGTTTGATTGATATCACCCTATTGACACTTAATTTATTAATAAAAAGAACGCATCATTATCGTTGTTTTTGTAGTAAAGATTATTACTTCAACTCGTAAGACCACCGGCTACAATATAATAAATAGCGGCGCTTATTAATTGTTGAATTGAATTGAATTGAATTGAATTGAATATACTTTATTGCACACAAGGAAATACAAAGAAGAAAATACCGGAAAGATAGTGTACATACAGGCGGCCTTATTGCTAAGGTAGCAATTTCTTCCAGGCAACCTTAGGGTATAGGATTAGATAATAAAGTTGCGGGATAATAGTGCAAATATAATTACAGTAATATATATGTAGAAAAATAAAATCATCTAATATAATACATATCTATATAATAACAAGGAAAAAGTAACGTTGGGATGAAATTAGACAGGAAGGGAAAGGAGATGGGCTTTCAGGTGCTTCTTAAAAGTGTAAAGGGACGGGGCTTGTCTTATAGACACAGGGAGTGAGTTCCAGAGCTTCACAGCTTGGACGGTAAAAGAAAAGGCATAGAAATCAGTGGTATGAGAAGGCATTGAAAGCGAGCGATCACGAGAAGAACGGAGTGAACGATCAATAGAAATGGACTGGTATTTAAAACTTTCTTTATATACGAAGGAGTCGAAGGGTTAAACAGGATTGAATAAAGTAGGAAGAGAACGTTAAAATCCCTTCGACGACGGATCGGGAGCCAATTTAACTGAGTACGATAAGAAGAGACATGGTCGTACTTGCGTAGGTTGAAGATAAATCTAATAGAAAGGTTTTGGAGGCGCTCGAGTTTACTAAGCATCTCTTCTGTAAGGTCGGGATTATACGAATCAGCGTAATCAAGGATGGGTAGAAGTAGGGTCTGTACAAGCGAGATTTTAGTGCTGGTCGGTAAGAGATTCCGCAGTCGTCTTAAGGAGTGATACGCTGAAAACAACTTTTTACTCACGTCAGCGATATGTGGCTTCCAGGATAAGGTCTTATCAAATATCACGCCGAGATTTTTAACAGTATCGCTGTATGGTATATGGACGCCATCAAACATAACTCTAGATATGAACCAAGGGCTACCCACCACAATTACCTGAGTCTTTTTAGGGTTCACTGTGAGACCATAAGAGCGACTCCATTCGGATATGCGAGAGAGTTCGGTGTTGATGGAACACACCGCTACGTGTAAGTCACGAATGGGTGCCTGTGCGTAAATTTGGAGGTCGTCTGCATACAGGTGGTACGAAGATGTTAATTGTTATTTTAATTAATATTTGTTATAATATTAATATTTTTATGTATAATATTAATATTTGTTAAATTGTTATTTTCATTACATATCGATTAACGTACATTTAAGTCACACATAAATGTTTGAGTGATTTATACTTAATTAATCAATCAACCTCGTTGATTCAGTAGGTAGGTACTTGGGTATGCCTTTTTTTTTCAAATATTTAGTTTTGCTTAGAACCATATCACTTTCTTATTTTAGGATAAAGGCACACTTCTATAAAATTCCCAGTCCTAATCCCATAACCAGTAAATGATTAAAGTAGTTGGGCAAACTTACTCATCCCAAACGACATTATCAGCTTGCTACATTGCTTAATTCAAAATTATTGTCTTCAACTGGATTGTTTTCAATTTCATTGTAAACTAATATGATGGAAACATTTAGACTATACACGATCCCTTTCGTCGACAACTGAAACTTCTCTCCGAGTAATAAATACCAGTTGCTTAAAAATTTGTAGATATAAAACTGTCGCAAAATTTTTCCCCACTGCTAGGATTCGAGCTTGCACCTTTCCGATTAGCTCTAGCCACTAAATTATGCGTCGACGTCTTATCTACTTTTGTTTTTATTGCATTTGTAGCAATTTTGGAGTTATCTAATGTGATTCCATTACGACAATCGCACTTATTAAATATTGCATTATCAATATTTTTACAATGAATATTTGATAACTATAAACAAATCGCCTTTGCTATTGAAATGTAATTTTAATGTAGTGTGTTAATAAAATAGAGAACCTGTTACGCATGTTCATGTTACTTGACAATAAAAGTGACAAAAATTTGTTACAAAAAACGAGTCTTAATTTTCTACAAATGTTTAAATTTATTATGGGGTTTTCATTGATAGATTACAATAACTGTTCGCGTAACCATTTCGTTCGCCTCACCCGATCATACTTCGTAATGCTCTCGTCACGCACTCATCAGCATACTCCCGTGAGTCAAGCGTGCTTAAAGAAGTTTTAGTACAATTAAGGCCTGTTATTTCATACCATATTTGATTATAGCAATACTTGTCAAGTACTTAATCATGCTAACATGCTAACCTATATAATGAAACAGCTGTTTTCATTATTTGTTTATGTGTGTATAAGTGAACGCAAAGATAGGACATAAAATTACCATTGCTGCACATCCATACATTTTTTTTCCGTGGGTTCTCTACCTGCACGAGACTACACTTCAAAAATAATCAAACATCATTTATGGATAACTCTGTGCGTGACCGGTGGCGTACTTATACTTATATTTGCTAGCTTAGGGTAGTTTTTAATTAAACGTTTACTTTTTAATCCATTGTTAGTAATTTTTTATACCACGGTGATGATATCATAATAAAACTTTTATGTCCTTCCTTAAGTTTCAAATGAACTTATATTAAATCGAAGAAGTTAGTTTAGTGATTGATTATTGTGATAAATATAATTTTTATTAAGTTATATTAAAATTGCTCGATCTTTGAATAAATAAATACACTAATATTTTAAAGAGGAAACATTTGATTATTTTGTTTGTTTAACCATTGTTTTAAATTATTTTCATCAATATAAAGCTTCATTATCAGCGAGACGGGTTACTTTTTTTATCTCGATTCATAATAATTTACTTATGCCTACGACAGACAGTACGACAGACGGAATCAACACTTGTGCAAGTGAATTTAATAAGAAATTGAAAAGGAAAGTAAAAGATCACAATAACCCAGCAAGTCATTAATTATTGAGTGCATAGTATAATTATTCAATTTGGTGTAGTTATTATGTCAATGTAAAGCCTTGCATTTGAACATTTAGCAGAACTAGTCTTCTCTTCATCCATTACTCTGTTCAATTCAAAATATTTGTCCTCTATTTTGCGACATGTACACATTCTTGGAGCATAATGGGCATCACGTGGAAGAATCATGTGACAAACGAGTCTATTCTAGGCATCACACAACTCCAAAAACTTAAAAAAGAGGCGTTTGAAATGGCTCGGGCATGTGTATCGAATGGGGCAGTCTCTTTTACCACGCCAAATCCACTGTACAGCCACGAACGCAGGTGTCGTCACCATGATGCTGCTTAAAACATCTGACACAGATGTAAAGGCCTGTATATACACTTTCTTCATCATCATTTCAGCCTGTTTGAGTCCACTGCTGAACATAGGCCTCCCCCATAGACTGCCACGAAGTACGACCCTGAGCCACCTGCATCCATCGAATTCCCGCACATTGGAACAGTTCGTCACTCCATCTAGTGGGGGGTCGTCCCACACTGCGATGGCCAGTACGAGGTTGCCACTCGAGAACCTTTCTTCCCCAACGGTTATCGGTTCTACGAGCTATATGGCCGGCCCATCGCCACTTCAGCTTGCTAATCCTCTGAGCTATGTCGGTTACCTTGGTTCTACTGCGGATATCTTCTTTACGAACTCTATCACGCAGAGAAGTATGGAGCATAGCCCGCTCTATAGCTCGCTGAGCGACTTTGAGCTTCCTCATACGGCCAGCAGTGAAGGACCACGCCTCGGTTCCGTAGGTCATCACTGGCAACACACATTGATTAAAGACTTTAGTCATCAAACATTGAGGTATATTTGACGAGAAGATTTGCCGTAGTTTCCCGAACACTGCCCATCCGAGTTGGATTCGCCGATTATGGATATGACATCACCCTGTATTACACTCTTCTGCAGCTGGACACTTTCTTTAGGTGTTCCTGTTCTGTAACCCGCTTTAGTAATATATCATTAGGTGCTTGAGATACATTTTTCTCTGCAATGCGCCATTTCACAAATGTCCAAATCTTTTTGATTGGATTCGAGTTACAATGGTATGGTGGTAAATTCTAAACTTCATGTTCATGTTCATTTAATAATAGGTCTACCTCATGCGGGTCTTGTTTGTGCCTTTTCAATAATTCATATAATTGTGGTAAAATATTCGAATTCAACTGTATTTTTAGTCAGCCTCTCTTTGGAGCTCACTTTTTTATTAATTATTTCAGGCCCTTTATTAATTTGTTTCATTTTTCAATTGTTTTTTTTTTTCAATTTCTTGTTTGAAGATGAAGCTGCTGTAACATTACCCTCTTGGGTCAATGAAGTGACAGTTTGTTCGGAAACCCCTATAAAAAATAACAATAATGCTTTATAATTAAACTAAGATAACATTAATGATGATCTAAGGCATGGATGAGCAACCCGCGGCCCGCGGGCCGCTTGCGGCCCCTTAAAAATATTTATGCGGCCCGCCAAGCATTTCTAAAAGTGAATTTATTTTATCGAATTTCTCCCATCAATATATTGTTATAAAATTAATTATAATAAAATGGTAGTACATACTGAACCGAAATATTTTTTGTTCGTTTTTCTGTTCTTTTCTTGTTTGTTTTTATATTGCATTAAAATTTGTATATGAAATCTTTATCTTTTTTTAATTTTATTACTCTAATATTTATTATAAATAAATTTTCGTTAATTATTATGTGCGGCCCGCTAAAAAAATTTGAAATTTAAATTGGCACATCAGCAACGCGACGCGAGATCTGCTGAAGGGATGTGCAAGTAAAAAATAAATCGATATTTATCGTGTCCACATTTTTAAAAAGTATCGATAATTATCGAGCGGAAAATTTCGATATATCGTCATTTTTCACATGAATATTCATACATATTTTTAAACTATTCAATATTCGTAAAAAAGAATAGGCATGAAGAAAATAATTGAATAGAGTTTTCAAAGTTAATGATGTGCGAGGAGTATGCAAAGAGTATCTAGTAACTTTGATACGAAACCAGAATTGTGTTAAAAATATTAGGTTGGGGAAAAAGTCTTTTCGCAAATAGTATGTATGTACTTAGTAATAGTATAATATAATTTCTTTAGCTATACCATTGGTATCTGGCTGGTTTTGGTATCATTAAAAAGTTTAAATTTTAAAAAAGATAATTCCAAATTCAAATTAGGAAAAATGTGTCATTTTCATTTGTTTTTTTATTGTTGAGTGATTCTATTGAAGAAATGCGATACATTTTTTTTAATGTGAAAAGTTGCCAAACGAGCAGGCGGTTCACCTGTTGTTAAGTGAATACCGCCGCCCATGGACATCTGCTACACCCGGGGGTTACAGATGCGTTGACAACCTTTTGAAAATTGGGCTCCGGCCACCTCACTCACCAGACGAAACGCGAAAGTAGTTGTCATACTTCCACTTTACGCTGGTCTTCTGTGGGGTCGTGGTACTTACCCGGACGGGCCTGCCCATTCGTGCAACAGGCGCTGCGTGGCCCTACCACCGAAGAAAATTTTAAAATTGAACGAAGAAGATTTAAAATTTTACTATAAAAAAATGTAAAAATGCAAAGCAATCCGCGAAAAAATTGTGATATTTATGACCTAATGCAGTGTCTATGAGAGTAGCACTAATTTGGGTTAAACGTTTTCAATCCGGATATTTTGATGTCAAAGATACACCTCGCTCTGGGCGCCCTGTTACGGATAAAATAGATGCCATTTTTGAAAAAGTGGAGCAAGATCGGCATGTCAGTAGTTACGATGAAGCAGAAGAACTGGGAATTAACCACAAAAAAAATTTATTTAAAAAATGTGGCTAGAGAACTAGTGTATTGAGTTTTTGAACACAGTTCTGCCAAATAAAATAGGGCGTATTTCGATAGTCCGATTTTTAGATTTTTTTTTTAAATAAATAAAATCGTGGATTTCTTAGTAAAAATAACAAGTTTTAAATATTTTTTTCTCGAAAACTATAAGCGACCGCCGAATTCTGCTTGTTGATTAATTCATTAGAGATTTTCTCTATCGTTTAAAATTTATTTTAATTGAATTACGCCTGAGTTAAAGTTTTTTACATTTGCCAAATTCTTTAGGCAGTGTCAGGTTAACATCACGAGGGGACTGCCAAAATCACTTGTCGCGGTTTTTTGATCAGAAGCCCCAGAATTTCTATAGCAATGGGATTATGTCCCTACCTACAAGATGGCATCTACATACTTTAGTTAAATGTAAATAAACTTTATAAAAAAATGTTTTGAATATTCATATAAAATGCGAAGAAACTTTTTCCCCAACCTATTATGTCGAAATTGACACGATTTCGATAGTTTAAATTTAATATAGAATATCAATATATCGCGATAGAAAATACAGACGATATCGATCTATAATTGTATTGAAAAATATTGATATTTTCACATATCGATACATTTTGCTTATGCGTAATCTGCTGACTTTAAGAAACAACCAGCAATGTTGAGTGTTTGCCCGTTAATATCTCGTTCTTCTTCACAAGTATTAGTTTAATTGTACGGCAGTATCCGGCCACCACTTTTGATTATATTACGCATAATGAGGGCGGCCAAAGTTTATTTCCGACTTTGGCACCGTACAGAGTTATCTTGCGAGTTATCGATGCTCTGTCTTTGTATCAAATTTTTATTATCTGTAAATAATAAATGACAGATTGTCAAAATAAACAAGGTCATTCCTTTGTTTATGTACAATACATACTGTACCTAATATTGGTAACAAATTATGTGAGACTGTGACTCATTGCCTAGGCTTAATGGTCTTAAACTTCTAAAGCTTTTATCTTATTCATTATTAAATTGTGCTTTCAAATCACTGAGGAATGCTATTTTAATTTTAAATCACGATGTCATTGTCACTGGAAGAAGACCCCATCATAAACGCTGATATTCAGAATGATGTTACGAGTAGTCATCGTAACTTAGTTGACGTAGATGTAGGAAGAGGTGAATTCTTATTTTGTAATAGTAAAATATAGTATAATTTGGAAAAAAATCAACATATTTTCTTAATGTTAATTGATTGAACTGTGTTCTTTGTCGATTTTGTTTTAGAAGAAACAACAGGATGGGTAAAAAGTCGGACAGTTTTAGGCATTATGGGTTTTCTTGGTTTTGCCAATGTTTATGCAATGCGGGTAAATCTGTCAGTGGCAATTGTAGCTATGATCAATTCAACAACTGTACCAAATAACTCAACTTTAGATGTATGTCCAGTACCTACACCTACCAACAGCTCCATACCATCTGTGAGTTAATTTTCATTTATATACATTATGAAAATTTTTGTGGTATAAAACAATTTTTCAGATAGGGCTTAGTATGTTTAAGAAGTTCATATGAATTAATTATTATATGCTTAATGATATTCTTGTATCTTTTGAACTGTTACAGAAACCAGGCGATTTCAACTGGACACCGCAACAGCAATCTATAATATTGGGATCATTCTTCTATGGATATGTATTGACACAGGTGCTGATCATTCAAACACTGAAAAAATAGTGTGATTTCATTTTAGAGTATTTTTATTTAAAAAATAATTTATTAACCTATTTGGTTTTTTTACAAAGGTTTTTGCTATGAAAATGATAGTCAGGTTAAACTTTTTGTAAAGTCATCATGACAGCAGAATTTAAATCATTGCCATCAATTGTGAATTTCAAATACTTAAATTTAATTTTCATTACACTGTTGCAATTTGACTCCTTTATTTTTAGGTTCCAGGTGGAAGGATAGCAGAAATATTTGGTGGAAAACTTGTTTACGGTGTAGGAGTACTTTTGACAGCAATATTCACCATTCTCAGTCCAATTGCAGCATTTGTAGATTTCAAATTTTTCATTGTTGTAAGAGTTCTGGAAGGCTTAGGTGAGGGTGTCACATACCCTGCTATGCATGCTATGTTGGCCAGATGGATACCACCTTTGGAAAGATCTAAGTTCGCTGCATATGTCTATGCAGGTATGAAATAAACCCTGAACTTTTCATCCCATTTAGAATGAAATTAAATGATTGGGTTTGTGTCTATAGTGGTTAGTTTTATAATAAAACTTATTACATGAAACAACATATAAGCCTAAAATAATATATTGCATTATTTGTTGCAGGTTCTAATATAGGCACAGTTATATCGTTGCCAATATCAGGGTGGCTCTGTACCCTAGATTTTGGTGGTGGGTGGCCACTTTGCTTTTATCTATTTGGAGGGCTCGGTGTGCTATGGTTCATTGCCTGGATGTTTCTTATATATGACACACCACAAAAGCATCCCAGAATATGCCCTAGGGAAGTTGAATACATAACAAATTCTATTGGGCCACAAGTAAGTATTAAAAGGGTTTTATTTATTATCCAATGTCCAATCCAACATGAGGCAAGTATTTATAAGTAACAACCTAGAAATGTCCAACTGCTGGGCAAATAAGGCTGATCCATAGCTTTAACAATTTCTGGTGAAAAATGGTTTCAGATAGGATAACTTTACATAAAAATAAAATATTTTCATTATTAATGAGAATTTCATTAATAATTAAAATATTTTATTCTTACTATGAAGACTATAATCAAATTAAACCAAGCAAAGAAACAAATGGAATCATAACATTCAATATTTCAATATCTTTCATATTTTATAAGGATAAAATGTCATTTCACAACAAATCATTTTATAAGCTCAATAAAATAAAAAATATCTCCTTGTAGTAATCATTTGTCTGTTCTGTGTAAACAACAGTGATAGTATGATAATTTTAATTGTATTGTACAATATGAAAATGTTATCAGTTTAGTGGTACAGTGGAGCACAGCTGTGACTCACATACCAACAATGAAATCAGATATAGCACTTTATTTTGGTAAGTCATATGAATTAGGAGCTCTTCAATAGGCCAAAATGGATTTGAAATGTTGGTGCATTTTTTTTAAGAAAGAAAGTAAGGTTTTAGTCACAAGCTGACTAATGTTTAACCTGGTGGTAAGGCAGTGGACTTAGAATGTAGACAACATAAAACAATATAAGTAGGAATCAATCCAGCTTTTGTTAGGTTTACTCTTAACATCAACTGTGTTAGGGTCACGCAACAGCTTCGGCTGTTGCACCAATGAGCAAGCTCATCCGGCTAAGCACTACAACCTCACAGAAGACCGGCGTGAAGTGGAAGTATAATTCGTGTGGTAGCCGGAGCCCAATTTTCAAAAGGTTGTCAACATATCTGCAACCCTTCGGAGTAGCAGATGTCCATGGGCGGCAGTATTGACTTAACATTAGGTGAACTGCCTGCTCATTTGGCAACTTTTCTCATAAAAAAAATCTGGTGAACCGCTCGCTTGTCACCTTTTCCCATAAATGATAAAAGTAAAAATGGTGAGGGGAGTTTGCAGAGATTAGAGTGATGCTGGATAATGGGTTACAAAAACAGATTTAAAAGATTTGGCTTATAGCATAATATTATATTAATCATTCTTCAGCTTTGCCTAATCCCAGGTACAAAATAGCCCATAGAAATAGACAATGTAGGCTGTACAAGGTCTCTAATATTGTATGAAACTCTCAGCAATTTACAAAAGCAGTAATGATAAAGATAATTCTGAATGAAATACCAGACTTAACATTACATCAATCATCATCAATTTAGGAAAATAAACCACTTTTATTATGTAATATCAATTAAAGGCATAACAAGACCTTGATATCCTGGCTATTTATTTCTATGGTGCCCTATTCATTGAGCCAACTAGTCAGTATCTTTTGCCAATTAAACGCTGATTAGCCTTCAAATATAAATGTGGCAATCGAGCCACATTTATATTGAATGTCAATCTGTATCATTACTCTCGAGTAAGCTTTCCCAATTAGTTGACAACTATTCCTTCAATCTGTAGTTTACTGTCATAGAGTATCGCATTTAATATATGCCAAAAAATGCTGTCATATGGTACTAATTTTTCTTATATATTTCTTTTGTTTACAGGAAGATAAACCATCCATGTCAATACCTTGGTGCAAATTTCTCACATGTCTCCCGCTTTGGGCCATTCTAATAGCCCAATGTGGACATCATGGCTTTTTTACACACAGTTAACTGAGCTGCCTACTTATATGAACAACATTCTGCATTTTGATATTGTTTCCGTAAGTATTTATAGATCATTAATAAGCATAAGTGTCTATTGAATTTGCTCTACTTTTACATTATAATGATCCTCTATAAGTTTTGTAACATTCAAACTTAACTATTTCAAATGTAGAGTAAATTGAAATAACTAGTACTACCTACATTTCTGATTAATGGGACAGATTATTAGGTCATATTTCAGATAGTGAGACAAGTAGGTCATTATGACCATGTAGATAAATATTTCAATCAAATTCGTCGATGCATGCCACTGTAATACAAATCTATCCTCTAACAGTATGTTTTATCTCTTTCAAATTCATTTAACTCATTCATATGCTTTATGACCTTTACAATTGAACTTAACGTTACCGTTTTACACATAAGGGTGAAAAACGGTAACGTTAAACATCTAAAATTGTTTTTTTTGGAAAATTTAATAACTCAGTAAATATTTATGTTTAAAGAATGTAAATGTTTAATACAGTTTTAAAAACTTATCCTCTCTATGTGTGTTCATTCTGTTGTAACGACACGCTGTATGATATTTTTAGGGATAACAAACTTGAACATAAAATGTAAATTTTATAAAAATGCTGTTTTTGATGAAGCATAAAAATGTTTCATCAAATGTCCCAAATTTTAAGAGCAAAGGCAACTGTTCTTTGTATAGTGTTTCATACTCTTAAGTATGCATGCTAGATGGCGCCAAGCATTGCTAATAATGCAATAAGAGACGTAGACGTCGAGATTTTCGCGCCGTTAGTTTATCGGTCGGTAAACTTAGTTTGTAAATCGTCTGGCGCGTTATCCAAATGACGCAGATTCGAATCCCGCAGTGCCAAAGGTTTTTTTTTTTCATTTATCTAGAAAAATCTAAGTTTCACCTTGAGTGCAGAGACTAGCACTAAAAACAAAAATTTTATCCTAAAAATTCCCATTTTAAACAATCATTTAATAACAAATAAAATTATAAAATTCATACTCATTGGCGCTCAATACAAAGATAACCTCTGATGAGCGTCATTATTTTGAAACCTCACAATCAGCTTTAAAGATATTAGTTCATTTTTTAAATTGAATTTCCGATTTGATATTGCACCTATGTCAAATTTTCTCTACTCCCAGGGTTACTGGAAGAGAATGCTTATTAGCATTTGCCTTTTGTTTAGCTTTATGTTGAGGTGTGAACGATAATTTTTTAAATAAATAACTAAACATTTTTTTTAGAATGCAAGGCTTTCGGCTTTGCCTTATCTAACTGCTTGGATAGCAGGTATTCTCATAAGTATTTTCGCGGATTGGATACTTGCTAAAGGATGGATTTCCCGGCTCAACAGTATGAAATTATGGAACACTGTTGGTGAGTTATTTCATATATTTTCTAAATAATTTTTATAACCAAATTAAGTCTTAAAAACCACATTTGTTTTATTTATTAACCAAAATTGTTATATTGAAATAAGGTAAGTTCACAATGCAACATACTATTAATTTCATCATGTTCTCTAGGGTGCTAAATTGTTGGTTTTTTTATAAGAAGAACGTAATTTAACCTCAAGACCATTCTAATTTTGTTCTTAGTAAATAACTAATATAAATTTTTAATTTATTATAACAAAAATTGTTTTTAAGATATCAAGTTAGTGATCAAAGGTGAAAGGTTAGCTTGAATGGTATCTATATGTGGTATATAAATCAATCTTACTTACTGCTTGGTGTTGGAGAGAATGTAATTAATTAGTACCTTGTTTTTATCAATTATAATAACAACGTTTTTATTACCCGATAGAAGCCACGTTTTCCTGTTACATAATATATTCTTGGACAATAATATGACATTTTTACCTTTGTCAAATGCTTATCCAATAAGAATATTATCATAATATATTCAGTTAACCAATAATAATTTCATTCTTCCATTTTCGTTTTTCCGTTTGCTATGGAGGAAGAATACCGCGGCTTCGCTCTCGTTGAAGCCTTTAAATAAATATCTTTTTTAAAAAAAACATTTTTTTTAATAAAAAGAATCCTGTGTCCTTTTTAATACCTGTAAGAATATACAGGGTGGTTTTTCTAAGTGTATCTATTTTTTTATTGAATTTTAGACATAAATAATGTTATATAAAAAATGATAAATATTTGAAATCACTCATAAGTAATTAATTCAATTCATTTGAAATCTCAAAAAGTGCGTGATTTATACGCAACTCATTTATTTTACGCGCGATCATTCACAACTATCACACGCACACAAGTTGGTGCAAAGTAAAATTTAGGTATTTATGAATAACTACCGCATTGTCAACACGTTCTGTTTTTTAGGGAAAAGAATGGCATTTTTTTTTGAAAAAAAAAAAAAAACTTTGTTTTTTCATTTCAATAAACGATTCTACTACCGAGTCTGAACCTCCTGTGTAAATTTGGCACTTCTCAAAAAAATATCCTTGTATGTACAAATTTTCATGATCAGTTGAGTAGTTTTGGCATGAAAGCGTAACAAACACACTTAGATTCACATTTATAATATTAAATAGGGATATTTTTACTCTATTGCTCAAGTCTGATACGATGGATAAAAGAATATGGATTTGAAAATGATAATATTTTCATATCACCGTGAAAAGACTTGTTCTGACTAATTGTCACTTGAAGAGTGCAATTCACCGAGTGATAGTTACACTTGTTAATAGTAGTCTGTTAGTGCGGCTGTATGTGTTGTACATTTTGTGTGAGTTTTGAGTCACTAATCATTGTTTTTTTTTTGTTCAGCCGCGTTCGTACCAGCATTGGGCCTTTTGGGGATCGCGTGGGCCGGTTGCGATCGTGTGGCGGTTATGTTACTGCTCAGCATCACATCCGCTTTCGGCGGTGCCGTATATGCTGGTAAGAGATTTTTTCTCTATCTTTTTGTATAGATTGTTCGATTTTTTGTTAAATTTAATGAGTCACAGAACCGAAACAGAGCAATCCGAGTCGGTTAGATTAGGTTAGAAGGTCCTTAGCCTTCGTAGTTATTTTTTTTATGACCACCCAGAAATAGGAGCAGAATTGACATATTAACAACAACAAAATGGTGGATTTCTATAGTGAAAATGACACAATTTCATTTTTTTTCCAAAACTATAGTGACCGGAGAATTTTGCTTGTTCATTAATTCATTAGTTTGTTCATGTTTAGAAAAATGTAACTCGTCGGTCTAAAACGAATCTTGCCAATAACTTATCACTCAACCGTTTCTCAAAAACTTACTATAAATTGTCTGGTACTTATATGACATTTTTAGCGATAGTATAGAAAAGTTTAAGAGAAATCTGTCCACTTACAGTTTTTTATTTAATTAGAGTAAATTTCTTCTTTTTCTACAGTTTTTATTTTTTGGTAATTTTTTAAAAATACTGTTATTTCCTGTTTTGGTAATATTTTTATTTTAATGTAAAGTCAACTACTGTTAATTCTTTGGTAGCATTTAACATACTTCAATTATTATTTTTTTAGCAGTTGTCAATATAATAACTTTTGAATGTCGTTTCTCCTGTAATTGAGATACCATTTAGCTTAAGATACTATGTACTTATTTATGTTTTAAGCTTGTTTTGTTGTGTATCTTTTTGGTGAAGTAAGTAAATAAATAAATAAATTAGTGATTTTTCTCTATCGTTAAAAGTTTATTTTAATTGTATTACGCGAACGTCAATGTTCTTTACATTTATAAAGTGAGTTTGATAGTGCTTCAAACGGCATAAACGTAAACCGTAATAAGCAAATTGAAATTCAATTCAAATATATTTATTCAATGTCTTATTGATTCTCAAAATACCGGTTCGGAGAAGAAATGCGGGACAACTTTTTATGCCATTATTTGACAATGAAATATGTATAATATATTCCACTTGTAACAGCCTGCAGTCATCAATTCGTGAGTTATCATTTAGCCGATTGTCTTTCCAAAGGTCGAAGTGATGCTGAGCACTATATTTATTTGTAGGCAACCAAATGAATCACATCGATCTGTCGCCTCAATTCGCGGGCACCATGTACGGGATCACGAACGCCGCGAGCAACATTTGTGGCTTCCTGGCGCCTTACGTCATTGGCCAAATCATATCGCCCGAACAGGTATGGAGTAGTGCTTATTGTGGATGCTAAGATAATGACCAGAATATATCTAAGGTAAAATAATGTTGTAATACTCCTCTTCTTTCTCCTGCCCCTTCTCTCGCACAAGGTTGGGCCGGCACGACATGTCCTTTCGTTCCACTTTCCTCTATCACCCGTCATCTCAATACTCACCAATTAAAAAAAATTACCATCGATAGATGAAATGTATGTTCCTTATGTCGATGAATAAATGATTGTGATTTTGATCCCCTTTCACTCTTCGCACAGTCCATCCAAATCTTAAAAAAAATAACAAAATGTAGTATAACTAAGTTGTACGTACTGCGTTTTGTAATTTTCCATAAGTATATATCGACTAATACATACAAACGGATACCTGTCGTACATTTATAAAAACCTAATATAGTTCATTACGTCTGACAAAACAACATCTGTAAGGTATCTTCCTTCGTATGGCTATCGTCATCATTTCATGTTACTAGCTAAACTAGAAGAAGGTATAAACTGAAGACTGTGATAGTAAAATTAAACTTTATGATTGTAACTAATTTTTCTTATTGGCAGCAAACATTGGGACAGTGGCGGGAAGTGTTCTACTTGGCCGCAGCGATAGATCTGGGCGCCAACCTTTTCTATTTGTTCTTTGCGAGCACCGAAGAGCAGGTAATTTTGTTTAGTTATTTTCTTTCGCTAATTAAAAAACGTATCCCTTACTGTAGGATAGCATTATCCTGTGTTGTAAGGACGTTTTAGAAACATAAATTTCACGTGGATAAACATCCAGATGCGAAACAACTATCTGTGGGTCACACAAATAGTTGTCCCGTGTGGGGATCGAACCCACGACCCTCGACGCTGGAGGCAATACCTTGGCAGCTGCACCACAGAAGCAACTTAGTAGCATAGCTTTAAAATATAAAAATCAGGAACTGGAAATAATTGAATTAATAATGTAAACTTTCGGAAAATCTTTCCAATGCTATGGTGTCGATGACCAGGCCTACAATTTTCTAGATTGAACATTGATTTTTTTTGTAAGTTTGGCTGTACTGTGCGAAAGAGACGGAAATACCGGGAAGTGTCGCCGTCTCTTTCGCACAGTCCAAATCGCTTCCTGTCTTGCTTGCATTACTCCCATTACATCAACATTGTTATTCAACTTCAGTCCGTCGAATTAGTTATCAGGCGACTTGCATATTTATTTTATTTTTATTTATTTTAGCGACTTGCATATTTATGCGTATTTCTCGTTTAAACTAATAACGTAATTGTTAAAGGATTGGTCGCTGGCTGACAACGACGACATGACCGCCTCGGCGCCTGTCGAGAGTATTCTATTCCCGGAAACGTAGTGTTCAATTAATGTTCTCAACCACGGTGACACAGCCGTGTGATTGGCAACACTGGACTTGCATATCGTTTGTGCGCGCTTAACAGATGGCGGTTTCGGCCAATCTATGTTTTAGATCAATTTTCAACGGGGTAATAAAAGTATTTTGTACTAAAGTATGATTTTTAATGTCTATATTTTGATATATCAAACGTAATAATGTGTAAATTATGATATTAAATGCACGCACATCACTCGCGATGTGCGTGCATTTAATATCGAGATATTTCACATGTTGTAATCAAATATTGGGGAAATTGGAAGTAATATTGTAACAGTAATGATTAAATTGGAGGTAATGATAAAATAATTCTTGTTTTAATGATAATTTTGGATACTTAAAATATTTGTGTAGTCCTCTTAATAATAACTTACCTGTTATTAATGTTTTCGGGTTTAGATAAAAAAAAAACAAAAAAGATCCAAATTATTTCAATAAATTAACTTTATTAATTAATAATAATACTACTATTCATTCACCATAAGTTTGTTATCAAATCATGTATAATTCAAAATTATTCTGTTGTTAAATTCACACAAATAAGTATGTAAGTATAAGTTGTTCATACATAAGAATATATGTAAAATAATCATCATTCCAAATCAAATTCAATGAATTTTGATTAAATCTTAAGATTTAATTAAATTAGGTTAAAATTTAATTAGGTGTTCTTAATGTCTCATTGTTCTTTAAGATTTAAATATGGAATATAGAATTTACTAACTCTTTACTGTGTTTGTTCTGTTCTTTCAGCATAAAATAATTTGTAAAAAATCTACATATAGTTTCGATGGGCAAATTTATTAACTCAAATTACAACTTTTTAAATTTACAGCCAGAAACATTCTGTTATATTACATGTGATATTGCTCTCTTAATCGATTATCTGTTATTTATATATTTTTTTCGTAAATATTTATCCGACTCACCATCTAATATCCTCAACGAACTTTAAAATAAATTTGTTTTTTCACTCGATATTATGAAAAATTAAACAATTGAAAAAAAAATGTATCAATAAAAGTAATGATATTGAAAGAGTATGCAATTTATTATTGAATGTATTAGGTATATAATATAAGAATCTAAATGTGATGTTGAATAAACCTTTCGAAAAGGCAAATAATAAATTAATCACTTAAAAAAATATTGGATGAATGTAAGGTAAATAATTTTAAGGTGCTAATTTTATTAGAACATTGTCATCATCTATGATTCACCTGATTTCGATTAATTTATGTAGTAGAAAAGTACGCAGCTGTGCTCAAGTAGGGTTCTTAAATGAAGATTCGATGTCTCCTGTGATATATTTATTACGTCCAATGACGTCGATTATTTTGCCACTTTTATACTATTAGTAGCAGTTTTTATGGTCGGCTTTTGTCGTGTTAATTTTGTGGACATCGCACATTTGCATATTGAGACAATAACAGTCATGTAAAGTATTTATCTCTCACCTATGTAATATAATAATTTGGTCATCTCATCTATATATTTTAAAAAAGTAATTGTTATAGCTTTTGGATTATATTTAAACATAATTAATTATTATAAGTATACTGAAGCGAAGCGTATTAAAAAATAAAACTACGTAAGTTGTCTGCCAACGCAAATGACTATGCATTTCTATGAAGCTTTGAAACTGTTATGCAAACGTAAACTACTATTCACTTTTATTATATATTTTTTTCAAAATTATTTAAATTTGTGAACTATTTGACTTTTGGCATCTCATCTCAAAATGTTATAATTATGGTTGCGGTAAATTATATCGCTATGCTAGTATTAATACAGCCAAAATGCCGTGCGGCCAAAGATTTTTTTTATTGTCTGGTAGGAAATGAAAACTATGATAGAGTATTAACCCAAATTTTATTCCAGGGAAACAAAACATCCCGTAGTTAGTTTAACCTATTATACTTTATAACTATAGTGTAATTTTACCGTAAGGATTGCTAACTGTGTTTTAACTTTTTGATTTACGGTGCGTACATTTATTGGTGGATTTTATGACAAATGTGAAATATATTACTACGGCACTTTCTACTTATAAATTTAGCTTCGATCTTCAGTGTATTTCGATTTCATCAATTCCTACGAAAGGTAATTCGTAAGTGCCAAAGTCATGCATTATTGCTACTTCTCACTTAATACATTAATGTGTATCTTTATATAAAAGAAAACCTTTAAGAATACCTTTGGTTTGGGTCCTTGCAACTAATGATTGATAAAGTTTTAAATTTCTTGTAATTAGCCGCTTTCAGCGGATACACATGAATTCAATTGGGTAGCCAGAGCAAATGTAGCCAATTATAACAAAAGGAAATTGATAAAAAATTATAGTTCACTTAACGAAGAAATAATAATCAGGTGATAAAGTTTAAGCGCGGGCGAAAAAAAGCGTGAATTTTGTTTTCACAGCTGATTTGGTTTAACACGATTTCCGCACAATTTTGTAGGTACTTTTTAATGTAAGTAGTAAAATTGTAGCATTATCAACAAATGTAAAACTTGTGTTAACGGGTTCCGTGGTCAGGTTTTAACTTTTAAGTTTGCCATAAGTAGCCTAGCTACGGCAATGAATTTAAAAGATACCTCTTAATTTATGTTTTTCAGCGAATCTATTGAAATTTAAATTAATTACTGCTTACAAAGCTAACGGTTTAGTTTGTTACGCAATGTGGTGATTAAAAATCTAGTTTATAAGCCATATTTAATGAAGAAATGTTAAAACATTGTGATTATGAGTAACAAAAAAAATCGAAGTATATTGTAAGGAAGTATCTTCTCTTTTCCATTAATTACAATTGGTTTTATAATAATCGGTTTGTGTCAATTAAATTCATTCTTAAACGCAAAATCTGAACTTTAATAAAAAAAAATCATTATTTTCAAATGAATGTATAAAACATTCCAAACGCTTGCAACTATTTGTTTTTTAGCTGTGAATGATTGATGTCTTTAAATATTTTATATCCTGTAATTTTTCACCCAAATTTCAAATGTAAGTGTATTAGAATCTCCTACACTTTTTTAAAAATTCTCCAATTTAAGTTTCAATTAAATACACTCAATGTGTATTAATTAAATACACATAAAGTCTCTTCTGGATGTATATAATAAAAGTGTAATTATTCTGTATATTTTAAATATATTATATAAAAGTATTGATATTTCATTTATTTACCTCAACACTGTTGTGTTATTTACAAAGACAACTCATGTTTTGTTACAACCATGTATCTTATTTTTTATGTGAGAAGGTGGCAAGCGACGTAATAACCGTCGCCCATAGACATTTGCAACACCCGTAAGGTTGCAGATGCGTTGCCACATTTTAATAAAGTGGACCCCGGCTACCTCACTCACCAGAGGAAAAGCAGAAGTAGACGTACAGACATAGAAAACCTACGAGAAGTGGTACTTGTAGAGAGGTCATGGTGCTAACCCGGATGGTCTAACCCTTTAGTGCTACAGCCAAGACTCGCGTAGCTGTATATTGTCTCCTTCCCAACAGAAACATAATTTTCCATATCGAATTATAAATGATGGAATTCTCAACAAATTAAAAAATAAATTAAGCACTTCCTCCTTTATGAAGTCGGTTAAAAATCAAAACCATGGTATATTTATAAAAAAACGTACGGTCATACTAGAATGTGTTAAATGCCACTCGTCAGTTTTGTCATGTTGGTTTTGTGGTTCATAATAAATGGCAATTAAAATACAACGACAATGTAACGAAATTTTTAAACCTTTGTACGTGAAGTCATAAAAGTTTGCCTTAAATATTCACAAAGGAATAGTTATCGAGGAACCCTTGCAATTACCGTTAACAAAGTATTTCGCCGGCCTCAAATCTTGTTTGCTAAATATTTTGCCCGCTATTGTCCTTAAGTCAATTTCACTTTAACCCGTCAATTTTACTGTGAAATTTTAAAAACGGTTACGCGCGAGAACTTTGAAAATGTTTACGAGCCGCCAAAGGCGAAGGCGGCGATACTGAACAGACCATTACCGAAGCTTAACGACCGATGTGTTTATGGTTAAATTTACAACAATATTTCCTGACTTTAAACGCGGTTGTTGCGTCTTTCCTTTTTTGTTTTTGTATTGGTTCCCTGGCTTTGGTCAAAAATAAGTAACGGTTATAGACAGAGAGAACTTTGGTTACAAAAAAAATGCTTACAATAGGACTTCGTAGCAGCCCGGTGTCATCATTACCCGTCTTTTTGTTCTGTCCTCACCGAAATGGCTTTGGAAATATAAAATCACATTTAGTCCCAGTGGATCTAGTAAAAGGATCAAAATGAAAAGCTAAAACTCATAAAATTATTACATTTTCTCAGTTATGTTCACTATTCATATTTTACGAATCTGCACGTTATCGCATTTCAACACATACGAGAATTTAACTCAAAATTCTTGGTTTAAACCTTTATAACTTTCAACTAAAATCATTTAGCAAGTTCCAAGTACATATATGCAAGACAAACCTACCTTCCCACAGAAAAATTTTCGAGGAACGGTTATTTTTCATCATCGGCTCTGTTGACGAAAACAACATACATACCATACAGCCATGGTCGAAAACTCATTTCGATGACGTTTGACGCTCAACTGGTAAAATAAAACTAATTTACGGATTTTCGCGTTTCTCGATATTTTGAAAACTTTACTGAACTTTTTTCTGTCTGTTCCTCGTGACACAGTTATATGTCAGCACAGTACACAGGATTTTTTTTATTAGGTTTGTTCGCTAGCAGCGTCTATGTAGATCGGCGAAGTTTAACATTTTCATAGATTTCATACTATAACAACGTCACATAAAAATAAAAACAGTCTAAAATTCCTTCAAATTCTAAATTCGTGCAATATTTCGGACCGTAAAAATGTAACGAAAAAAATTACCGTACATGACAAGGGCACATAAAGGTAGGTATTACGAAAATACTCAAAATATGATAATTTAAGTGATAATCCGAGCGTTGGTTAATCAAATTAAATAAACACAACCGATTTGAAAATATGTATGTTACTATGTACGATTATATGTTTTAAATTATAAAGTTATACGATTATAACGTTAGACTAATACACGGTAATGTATAATACAATACAGTCTTTGACATAAATGTTTCCTAATTACTTATGAATTTGTACTTATATTACACAATATATTAAGTACTGATATAAATTAAATAATACAAAAAAATAAAAGTTTATTTTATACAATTAGTGGCGGCCTTTTGATATAATATGTTTACTGTATCATTTATATTCACTTTATGAATTTTCCTAAATCCAATGTTTTGGCAATCTATATTATGGACGCAAAGGTTCGGTAATAAACAAATGCAAAATGTAAGATAATGCTTGAGTATCCGTTGTTGTTTGCTGTTTTACAAAAGTACCGTTAAAAATTATGACAGATGATAAAAAAGTATTTAGAATACAAAAATTACTCTACTTTCGGCCACTAACTGTAACAACGCAATGTTTTAAAAAGAGCAAATCTATTGTTGTGTTTTATGGAAGGCCGGCGGATGGTCTTCTGACATGCAGGTTAAAAAATCCCTTAACCGTTAGCAAAATTGTAACAGTTTTTTTATAATAACAAATACTTAGATGCCATAACAAACAAAACTGTTATAACAGTACTAAACTGCATTCAAAGGAGGGATGTGGTCAATGGTGGCAATTAAAAGGCACTGAGAAGGTTTTGGTTGTCTCATTGGAAGTTACGAATATTATAACTTTTTTGTCATTGCATCGTTTTCCCCAATGCTGGGTAGTCTTGACCTTCAGCACGGAATGTTTTATTGCGGATCTGCATTGTCTATTGATTAAATTTGGTCACAAAAACGCAGAGAGCTTCGCTTAGGTGATCTCGACGTCTCGCATTGTCTGTATTATCTAAAATCGGTACGTCGTGACGTAAAGAAATTGGTAACTGTTTATGTAATGGATTATTAATGTTAAAAAACCTTTTGTAGAGTATGAACTTGACATTCATAGAGTATGAGTATTCAACATTTACCAAATATTTACATTTAAAGGTAAACTGTTCAATTTATTCGATATCAATGTTGAATTCTATCGAATTCTGATTAGCGAAATAATGCTACATTTTTTTATTGCTTCATATGTTAATTATTTACTTTGATGAATATGTGCTAAAATTTTAAATAATTACAGTGTGTGTAATGAATTATCGTCATATCAAAAAAAATTAATTAAGAACTAGGATATTATTTAGATACTTATTATTAATCAAGTAAATTTTTTGGACATAACTCTATTATTTGTTCGTGTTTCGTTGTGGCTTGGTTTTCTCTGCTTTTTTGTGCTTGACTTGAGTTAACCATATCATATCGCAACTATGAGTTCGTAAACTAATTCACATGACAAGCCGCTTATATTTGACTAAACACAAAGCAATCGCTGCAAAGCGAAAAATGTTCATAGGCGAGTTGGATTATTAAATCTGTTTTTATGTAAGAAGGTGGCAAGCGAATAGACGAATCACCTGATGTTGTTTAACAACCGCCGCCTATGGAAGTATACAATAATTATTGTGGGTTGGCAGAGACGCTGCTATCTTTAAAGAGACTAGATCCTATTACCTCACTTCACGGAAACGGAAAATTAAAGTAATTCCACTTTACGTTGGTCTTCTGATAGTAGCTGCTTTGGTAGTTCTTCGGGCAGTTATGCCCATTCCTGCTATAGCAGAAGCTGCCGTGCCTTTCCCACAGTAAGGAAGAGATAATATGTCATTATCTTCAAAGCAATCGAGACTAAGTATTGCTAACGCACCATTGTTAACCATGAAATGGGATTCTAATCAAGGACCAGCCACATTACTATTAAAAAAATACGGTGATTTGAAATATATAATTACGAAGGCATAAATGGATTGGTTTTCCAGCCAAGTTACGTTTCATGGTAGCACTAAGCGTCGATGGGACGGTTTCTTTGAAGTGTAGGCATGACGGTTGACGCGGGCAAATATTATACGCCGCGTCAATACATTAGAGCGGTCTCCATCGTCAATGATGTTAGTTTCGACGACCGATTTTTTGCTTTATGAGCCAAACTTTAATAAATCATGCTAAAAATGTATGGCACCATAAGATTATGATTGCGTATGCTGGATTAACGTAAAATAACACATTGTCCCGTCTCCTGCCCTTCTCTACTTAATGGTATTTAGCTAGGTTTTTTGAGATCGTACTCTGAAGCAACCCTCTTTGGGAATAAACACCCAGATCTAGAACTTTTGTCTATAGGTAGCACAATAACTTGTCTAATATGGGAACCGAACATGCGAACCTGGTCTGCGCCGTCGCTGCCAATATCTTGGTGACTGCGCCCACTATTTTTTTCCAATCTTAACCTAGCGTACCTAACTTTTTACAAAATTTAACAATTTTTGGAGTCGGTACCATTGTTCACTATGGGTAATGTTTGTACACGGTTCACAATATGACCGTGCTAAAAAAATTGAGTCTAAGCAGGAATGAATATTTCGGTAATCTAATGAATAGGTTTAAATATGGCGATGTATCTTATCTATATATGTATCTCATCCACCTAAATAGTGTAACAAAGTTAAGAGATTAATTTTATGTTCAGATATTACTAGATAGAGATTCTTGGCTTGGCACAGACTCCAAAGATTGTTAAATTTTGTTAGAGGTTAGGTAGGTTAGGTAATCAAATTTTGAAAATCTAACCTATATAAGGTTAGATTTTCAAAATTTGATTATTTTATATTAGCAAGTAATAGAGTTTTTTGAAGTCTGTTATATTTATTAAAAAAACTTTTTTTGTTGCATCTTATCATTAAGAAATAAAAAATAATTAAAATTTGAGTTTCTCAGAGACCACAGCTTTTTGTCATTCCATTTTCATGAGAATGTTCTAAGTTTAAAACTGTTCAAGCGTATTGCAGAATTGAGACGCATTCTAAAGATTTTTCCTTTATCTGCTTCAGATGTTACAATAGTTATAGTTCCTTGCATCGAAAGCTGTAAGTCAAAAGCGAAAATGGACATTTATCGTTACGAATACTGACAATGAGTGTCTGTTCGCTTAATATTGGCGCTCTTTGAAGAATACCGCTAGGCGCGTGCCGCAGGTTATCAAAGGAAGCCGCCTGAAAAACAAAGGATGCCGCTTGTATGTAAATATGCAAGATATATTGTTATGTTGGCCCTACTCATTTAGAGGTGGAACATGTTACACTAGTATAGAAAAAATCTATTTGTTTCAATACATGTAAGTCATAAGGCTAATCACATAAGTCTTTGTATCCTCATACTCGAAGTAATAAAGTTAAATATTGGGTATATGTATGTCACTTTTTGGAATGCCGTTGAAATATATACAATGATACACTACGGATTTTCCGCTTTAACCGGATGTGGTAATTGGACCCGTAGCCGCCAATCTCAAATTTGTTAATGCACGCATGTCCACAAGCGCGACTCTACTTAGAGTTTAGCTAGCTAGCGGATTTAACTAGCTATTCCATGAGCTCTGTGTCTAATGTAACTTTATATATAATCAACAAAAAAAGTCTCCTGTCTCAGTGACTTGCTCATTCATCGCCTTTTAGCTGTTGATGTATGACAAGTAATAAGTCTAGGGAAGAAAGGAAAGTACTGCTCTTTGGCTGTAAGAATAAAAGACTTAGGGGTATTTTCACAGCGTCCAGTAAAAATTGGCAACGAAGAACAATGTCGCCGATATGTCTATAAGAAGCTACAAGGATTGCCCACTTTTTTATATGAAAAGTAAACGAAGTGAAAGTATTGATAGGACTTTAAAAGCGTTTCGATAAGTAATCAGTGTATTTTAAGACTTATCGTAGCTATAAGCGCACTTTAACAATTTCAGCAACAGTTTGCGTGATTTCTATTATACAGAAATTACGCTAGACCCTTCCACATTTTTATTGTTGATCTATTTCTGGGACTCAACACTAAGAAATTCTCTGAAGCGGCCCGAACTCTCATTACAATAATGATTGTCGGAATAAAAGTTATTCGTAAACACACAAGTTAAAAGTATTTTACTCTGCGACTTATTTTACTTTATGACTTCCCGAATGCCGTAGTGCGTAGAGTACCTGCCTCCTGCGCCAGAGGGTGTGGGTTCGATCCCCACTACTGGAAAAATATTGTGTGATGAACATGGTATTTTTCTAGTGTCTGGATGTTTATATATGTATAATATGTATTTATTTACAAAAGAAAAGTATGTTTAAGTATGTTTATCAGTTTTCTAGTACCCATAGTACAAGCTTTGTTTAGTTTGGGACTAGAAAATGTTGTGTACAAATGTGTCCTAAATATTTAAAAATATTTATTTATTTTAATTTTTGTTGATAATATCTACCTTACAGTAAACACCACGACGGCATTATAGTTACTGCTCTTACATTCAAGAACTTCAATTAGAGTATTTATTGGTATCGTTAAATCATATGATGAAATCCTTAAAATTTCGCAAATGAACAAATTTAGTGCCGATTCCCAAAATTTCCCAAGTGTAGCCGAGATGTATTATGCCGTTTGTAGTGCGATTTGTAAAAACAGTTTCTAATTTTCACAATGTGGACAGCCACGGAATGGGATAATGGATTTTTAATTCTCTTATCTGTTCCGTGTTGACAACCCTAGGAGGCACGCGATAGGCGTGCTGCGTGCGGTGGTCGCGTGGCCGCGGATTCTGCCTCGGCTCGGCTCGGCTCGAGAGCGAGCGATGGCCGGCGCTCAGCAGGCCAGTCTCGCGTCAGTCGTGCGTCAGCAGCAGTGCGCGCCGCACGTGTCATAATTATCGCTCCTTAGCGATAATGCAGTGAGATTATCGCGGTAGTGCTTCAGTGTGCAGATATAAACATTGACATTATGGTGACGGGAATCGCCAGCGGGCCGCAGCAGAGCGCCTCCAACCCGATCGCAATGGTGAACGGCAGCATGAGGTCGTCGGGAGCGCAAGTGGAGCAGAAGAGAACTTCAGGAGATAGTAGACGGGTGAGAGTAATTTAAATGTTTTTTGCAATGAATTGGCTGATGCTTGAGTGCATTGTAGGCAGTTTTTGCCTTGGGTGGTCAAGTAAAAATATACACCAAGGCGTTTAGATATGATTAACAATATATACACACATGTTTTACTTTTAACATGTTAGGCAATATTTTGTGTGTAATCTTTTCGATCTTTATTTTTGAGTATTTTTACAAAAAGTTGGAAATCTATAGATTTGTGGTTTTATAGGTATCGATAATAACTTGTGTGTGATTTAATTTTGAACTCTGGTAATGTTTTTTCATGTTTTTTATTGTTACCGCGCTTATGCCGAGCTTTTTTAAAATCTGTGAAAACTGTGTTTTATTAGCTTTGTATTTTTCTCTTAGCTAGTCTCTACGATTTTTTATGCTACATATTAAGTAGAGTTTCATGATCACTTGCGATGAACCCGATAGAGTGGTTTGTCAAATGTAGAGCGTATGAGTTTTACGTGTTAGTGGGATCGAATCCAAATTGAACCTGAGTTATATTATTATTATTAAAATTATACATAGTACCTAATATATGTATAAGTTCGATTTTGAATATTATTGTTATAAAAAACTAAAGTTCTTACAAAGGTCTAATGAACACCATTAGAATCTAAGATACCAATTTAAGCCTTTCTTAGTCTTCTGTCGTTTTCGATTCGAGAGCTAAAGTTATTTCGTCTGTATTATACTCGAATGATTGTAATGGCACGATTAGAGTTTTAGCAGGTTAGTGCGAAAAACACGAACCAATACGTCACACTCTATGTAAAATTAATTACATGTCGTCAAAAATCTCATATATAATGAAGAAGTGTGACACGTTTATATCGTGCAGAAGTCTAACGCACAAAACTTTCTTGAGAACATTAGAATTATTTTATTTCTTATTTATACAATCCATTATACCTTTTCTAGTTGTTTCTTTCGCATACATGGATACTATTTAGATTGTTTTAAATAAAGGACAAGGATAATGACGTTGAAACGTAAAAGGGACTTAATCTCTAACTTTGCTTTAGAAAATAAGATTTACTTTAAATGCGATATTACTTTTTTTTAAATGACGTAAATAGTGGGGAGAGATCGCTATAAAGTTTCCAAAAAAATCCTTGGTGTTAGACTAGTCGACTTATATGTTCCCGAGAACAGACACAAAAGAACCCATTAAACGTTTCTGCACTTTGCCTTGCAACTCGCGTTGCGAGAACCATTAGTAAATTTAAATATTTAATAAGGTCTAATTAGGTACATCTAATAGGTACACAGAGTAACGAATCCTTCGATGTTAAATGTGCACGAGGGCCTATGTTAAATCAACCTACGTCAGAATAGTGACTGTCCACTAAACATGTTGACGCATGTGAATCGCTTGTACTCGCATTATTCACTCTAACTCTTATCGCCTCGGCTCCTAACTGCGGTAGTTGTGGTGCAGCCGAATTATAGGGCTGCCACGATAGAAAAATACAATTAAAGATACAAATAATATGAACTTCATCAATAAAATGGTTTATTGAATTGACTTATACCGTGAACTTATACGAAAATTTGCAACCTGATACATGTTCTTAATAGTTAAACTTTCTGCTTATGCTCTTGCGTGTTGAGTTGTCTGATAAGTGAGGTAACCAGGGCCTACTTTTTTAACGGTTCAACCAAGTTAATCATACAACATCCGGATTCTACTTCCTCGGGTAACACGAGCGGTGGATAGATTTAACTGTCATAAAAAAAGTAATATTAGCCATGACGACGATGAGAAAAACAATTCTCTATCTATTGTCGTCATAAAATCCATTACGAGTGGTAATGCTTACTTGCTGCGACGATAATTTATCAATTCTGTTTGTATCGTGTAGTTGGCAGCCCTGGTTGTCCTCGGCAACCGGCGGCCGCTGAGTCAAAGGCGTGGGCGCGGCGTGGTCACGCGTGGGCCCCCGTGGGCTAATTGTCGTGGGAACGGGCACCGCGCGCCCACGCCACTAGAACTTCCGAACGTCATGTGCCACCTTCGCGATTAGATATCAAATTGATAACGACGCTTTATTATCATCTGTTTGGTTTGCACGTGTTCTGTTTACAAGTGTTGATGAATACATAGTATCTGTAAATACATTCATGAAAATTCGAGCGGTGAGGATGTCGTCGCTTAGCTTAGTGGCATCTGGACGTAATCGTTCGAATTCTTCAGCGGTCTTCTTCGGATTTTATTGGTCTTCGGTCTCGGTTCCGTAATCGTACTTTAAGGCAGTAATTAACCGAGTATACGCATATAGCGATCGTTTGCCTTGGTTTTTGTAAAAAGTTAAACATTAGCAATTGCCATAATTATAATTACTATCACGGTGTCGAATTAGATTCATATCCATTCAAGCCATTTCGGTCCGAAAGCAACCGATACATTTATACTTTGTATTTATAATGTCACAGCGATCGATTATATTTGGACTTGTTTGAAGCTTTTAGAGTTATTTCAATAGCAGGCTAATATTCTCTTATTCACTATTTATTTTTATTTCTTTCACTCTTACTAATTCTAGAGTAGCGAGGAAGCTGTTTATGCTTCAGTGGCGCATTAAATATATGATTTAGAATTACACCTAACGTCCAGACGTTGTGCAACAGCCGTTGACTGACCTCGCACGTCTGAGACGCGAGAATCAACGACCAATTCACGGTCGCCTATTGATATAATATGAGTAACAAACGTCTAGCCGTCGGGAGAGGGTGACAATCATTTGTGAGATTTGTTATTATATTGTGACAATTGTTTATAAATTATGGTTTAAGAAAGTTAATAATCAACTTTCTTAAACCATAATTTATAAACAATTGTGAGATGTACTTGTTAATATTGATCAGCGTGTTAATTACCACGCAGCAGCATCTGCTGTTGCACAAATGGGCAGTAGTAAACGGGGTAGTATCACCGCCTCACAGAAGACCGGCGTGAAGTGGATTATAATTTCACGTATCGTCTGGTGAGTGAGGTAACTGGGGCACATTTTTTCAAGGGTTAGCAACGCTTTTGCTACCCGTAAGGTGTTGTAGACGTCTATGGGCGGCGGTAACCACTTAAAATCAAGTGGATCGCTTGCCAAGTATTTACATAAAAAACAATAAAAAATCAGCGGATAATGTATTCGTGTAAGTATATATTTTAGCATTATTTAACATTATCTTTCATTGGAAAATCCTTGTCGCACTCGCGTTGCGCTTTCCGTTTCTGGGGACTTTCCTGATGTTTACAATTGCATTGGACTTACTACTTTTTAATCGTGGGCGTGCGCGAGTGACATGAGGAAGCTGTTTGGGAGTAGGTGGGTTGTGGCTGACAGGGGAAAGGTGAGGAGGGAGTGGAGGGAGAGCCGCGATCCATCATCGGGCGATAGATATCGCTACGTAGCGCGCCAACGCACTGTACTGTCGCCTTTCTTAAATTGCTGCCACTTATTTTCCAAATGTCCGTGCAAAGGAATTGCGGCTATAAGAAAGAGAATTTTTTAACAAATAAGAAGAAAATCAGAAGCAGAACCAGTTGCGGAAGCTAAAATAGCATAACAGCATAATATATTCCTATGGCGCTGAGTGATGACTCTACGTGATCGGACGTTTGCTTCAAGTATTTTAGAAATAAACAAAGCTAGACCCACAAACCCCGATAGTGGGCAAAGGCCTGTGTACTGACGATATTAGGAATTGGGAGATATTTGGATTTAGGAGCGCGGATTGGGAGGACACTGCATATCTTTCTAATAAACTTTTGACGCTATTCATTAAATCCGCTGATTTTCACACGATATTTCATCACCGTCATGCATAAGGGCAATAATTGGTAGACTAAAATTGCAATGTCACAACGGTTTTTGACCAGGAATTGGATTATGGGTGACTCTATCTCTATCCTTCAATTCAGTATGCTGATAACGGCGAGCTCCTGGCCTAGTTCTACGTTTTGAAACTTCAACTTCAACGCTTCATAACATTTACGTTTAATGTGTTAACGCCCTTCTCATTTGCGAAAGCTTACACTCGGCGGCGAAAACGCGTGCCGGAAGTGTGGCGGCTCCCACGCTTTGGCACGCGATCTGGCGTGCAATGGGCCGCCGCGCCAACTGCCAGCTCAGTGGCAAATGAGCTGCCAAGAGTTAACTAATGCGACGTCGCGTTCCATTACAGATATTTTGAGATATTAAATAAGTCCGCTTAATGCTCCCGATAGAAGCTTTAGATGTATGAATTCAAAGAATTGAATGACGAAAGACACCGTAAAAGCATGTAGAGTTAATGGTAAGGATGTTGCCAGACTTAAAAGAACAATTTAGAATATCCCATTACGTTCAAGACAACGTGTTATATTTAATATACCTTGTTTTATAAAGTTTGGCTTTGGCTGCGTATACCTATTATGTAGTGACGATAAACGATTGACCGCAGACTGATGCACATGTATCTGGTAGTTTGCCAACTATCATAAAATAGCCACAGTGAGACAGATATTGCAACTCGTACCATTTGTACCTCTTACCATTGCAACTCGTACAATATACTGAATACTCCTGAATCGTCAAACAAATCGAGATAAACTAACGCAGAAAGAAATATTTGACAGTTTATCTACACTAAGTTTTATATTAAATTCTCTGCACTAGCATTAACATTTTTTTAGCTATTGAGCGAATATTCACATTTAATGCCGTCGAGTGGAGACCACGTGACGGCAAGCGCAGCGTAGGAAGGCCTCCCACAAGGTGGACGGACGACCTAGCCAAGATCGCAGGGACGCTTTGGATGCAGGCCGCTAACGACCGGTCGAAGTGGAAGTCGATGGGGGAGGCCTATGTTCAGGAGTGGACGTCCTACGGCTGATATGATGATGATGATGACACATTTAATCCTATGGTACAAGGAGTAAAACTAAATATTTTGTTGCAACAATACACGCCTACTAACCGTTCAGTAATGCACGATGCATTTGGACATTAGGTATCTGTTTTCCGATTAAGTTTATCGATATATGTGTCACAGTGATTATTAGCGTCCGTGGCGCGAGCGCTCCCAGACAGGCACGTGTCGCAGCCGGCGCCTTGCGACTAATTCCGTTGCCAGTGACGCGCCGTTACGTAAATATCGGTTCTGTCTGGGCGGGCGATGCCGACGCCATTTTTATTTAGAACAAAAGTTTATAAATTTTCATCCTATGATTTTTGGCATATTTTTATTTCTCGTATTTTTTTACATATATATCTTTACTTGTTGTTGCCGTCCATTTCAATGTGGGATTTCTCGAATTATGATTTTTATTATAATTTGGTAGAGCCGCACAGCAGCTTCTGTGTTTATGTTGCTAGTTAGGGAATTGAATTTTGGTAGTTCTACATCCTAGCAAAAGATCGACATAAATAGTGGATGCATTTATCCATTGTTACTTGTAAGTTTTTCGTGCGAGCGAGCCACCAACTACTTAATCAACCAATCTTTTTGAAGATTGGCAACGCATCACATTAGTCGACGTCGTTGTAGACGTCCTTTGACGGCGGTAAGAAATTAGCATTGTTGTAGAGTACCGCCTGCTATTTTTTCGCCTTCTACCAAAAAACAGTGGAATTCGTTTCGATATCATAAAAATAAATTTAATAAAATATTCCCCCCAATTAGTGTATTTGCATTATCCAGACAGCGTTTGAAATGTGCTTATAGATTCAGAATGCTTACTGTTATCGGTGCTTTGTTGTAGAGTGTGTAGTTTACTGGAGCGTGGCGCCACGTGCCTCCTCCGCCCTCCACTCTTACGACCTTGTGCGGAAATGGAAATGGATTAGTTAGGGCTGTCGATTAATATAAGTGAGACCAACACATTCAACCGTGAAATTGTAATATCTTGTCAATTACCTATTTAATAATATTGCATCAGTGGTTTACGGGCGTAAAAAAGAAAAATACTTTAGGATTAAATGAAAGGGATTTACGAAGAATATTAAAGAAGTTACGCGATTATCGTGAAAATTTAAGTTTTCATTTATAAAGTAAAGTAAAGTTACAACCTATACATGTCCCACTGCTGGGCATAGGCCTCCTCTATACAGAGGGTATCAGGGCATTGCTGATCCGTCACGCGGCCCCACTGCGGATTGGCGGACTTCACATATCTTCGAAAAATTTATTGGTTATTTTTAAATATGCAGAAAATATGCAGGTTTCCTCACGCTGTTTTCCTTCACAGCGGAGCACGTGATAAGTCAGCACTTAAAGTGAAAAACTTCATTGGTGCCGGCACCGTGGATCGAACTCGGGTTGCTCGAGTATATTGAATTAAAGGCGAGCGCCCGGACACTGAGCTATCACGGCTCTCGTTAGTTTTCATTTATAAACACAAAAATTTCTTTAAGGAACATAAGAGGCCTTGATTTAGGTAAATGAGTGCATAGTGAAAGGGAAAATGATTGGGTTAGCAATAAATAAAAGGAGTTAAACCGAGATTTACGACAGCGTGGCGTTTAACGTTGGCGCAGCGTGTCACGTGTTCAACGCACGCGTGACGCGTTGTCACGTCGCTGTCACCCGTTGCCGTCGTCCTCGCCAGTCACGCTGTGCGACCTTCACGGCCTTCACCTTGAGCGCAGTCGCACGCGCCGCCATTACCATGTAACGCGAGATTAATGGCGGCTTTTGTCACGCGCCTTTCTCACTCCGCTATCGCGATTTCGCTTCACTATGGACATTAGGCTCGTTCATTGTTATAATTAGGTTTTGCTTTAATTATAATATACTTACTTTATATAGTATAATTGGAATAGCTACCGTCGTTATTTTCTTTCTCTCTACAGGTAAACCAAGTTACAGTTATCTTCCTTTTTTTGTATGAAACATTTTATAATGAAAGGAGGTAAGCTAATGAGGAAAATACAACGTGAACTAAAATTAGATATTTTGCAGATTTTAATCTTTCTATCAACATTATGACACTTATGAATCAGCTTTATCAGATAAATACCTAATCACCAGAAACTCATGATGCGTTATCACAGATTTATTGTGTTAATAAACGGAAAATAGATAATAATGCGGAAAAAATGTTTTTATTCCATTGAAAACAGCGTTAAAAATCAGAAAAAAGGAAACCGTTTGTATTTTTATTAATACATTTCTTTTTGTTACAGAGCAATAAACCAATAATGGAGAAGCGACGACGGGCGCGTATTAACAATTGCCTAAACGAACTCAAGGCGCTTATTTTAGATGCGATGAAGAAAGACGTATGTACTTTTGCGTTTTATTAGATAGACAGAAATCTTTAATATCCACGCACTAATTAATTGTATCATGAATGATATACATTCCGTAATTTAAAATTCGTGTTCATTCTTATTTTAATAAAAGACTATAATCCATCTAATCTATTTATTATCTTTATTATAATTTTGCCGATTACACTTTCTTATATTAGAATGTCACACGTGGTTATGGTGACCAGTTAAGTTGATAATGCCCTCGCATTACAAAATTGTTTTTTGCGCATGGTGTACGTACACGATTGAACAATGTTTTTCCATCTTTGTGCAATGTCAAAATTTACGCATTTTCTAACTCGATGGACGATTATATAGTAGCTCCTAGAAAAAAATTTCTTATGTGATACTTTATTGTACATTTTTTTAATGATGGAGTTTGCGATTGGTGGTCTTCAGAATTTAAAACCATCAAAGCTCACTTGTACTTTTAATTTATCTAATAAAATCCTTTTGTTACAGCCTGCCAGACATTCTAAACTAGAGAAAGCGGACATTTTGGAGATGACCGTGAAGCATTTGGAAGGCCTACGGTCCGAAAGGACGGCGTCGCCGGATCGGTTTAGGGCGGGGTACAGGCACTGCGTGTCTGAAGTTGCTAAGTACCCGGGCTTGGATGCGGGGCTCAAGAGGAGACTGGTTAAGCATCTCGAGGGTTGCGTCAACGCGCCGGGAGCGAGGCCGTCCGGGGCGCCAACTCCCCCGTCTGATAACGAAGAACCCATAATCGCATCGCAGCACTCAACTATTTTTATCTCCGGTAAGAACATTTCATCGATAAAGAAATAAAAACTTTGTTAGGTTACGTTGGCATCATCGGCATTTAGGGTTGCGTAAACATTTATGGTCATAAGGCTTGTGAAATAGATATTTCAGCAGGTTAGTCCAAATTTAATTTGTTCTAATAGCACGCGCATATTGCCATGCTTGGCTGTGCGTAGGTCTCGACCTTCGTCGCTCCAGAGTTAGCTGCGATCCTTCAAAGCGAGATCAATATCGATGGCTATCTATAGATTTTGATTGGGGTATTGAGAATATCCCTGGAATACTGATTTATCAGTATTGTTTCGTCGCGCTTGTCAGCGAGGTCGATCTATCCATTACTTTTCCGTATCTGGTATTCAATTTATGGTTTGTTTTAAGGACATGATAGGATTTTACACAACGTTATATAGTTCCAAACTAAGTTTGTACTATTAGTACTAGATAAGTGGCGAATATACTTAAACATACTTATTTTTGTTAATAAATGCATATTATGTATAAACACTCAGACACTAGAAAAACGCTATATTCGTCACACAATAGTGTTCCAGTAGGGTCCCAACCCACACCCACACCCTGGGGTGAAAGACAGGTTCACTAACCGCCGGGCCAATCGTGTCGTCACTTATTGTATATCGCAAAACGTTATTGAACGCGGGCCGATTTACAGCTGGTCCAGGTTCGGGCGTGCGGCTGGTCCCCACGAGGCTGTCGAACGGGGACATCGCTTTGGTGCTGCCGGCGGGCGTGGGCGCCAGCACTCTCGGCGCTGTGCCCACTTTGGTGCCCCTCTCGCCGCGGGAGGCCTCGTCGACCTCTTCGGAGGCGCGCTGCTTCTCGCCGGCGAGCTCGGGCTGGGGGAGCCCCCCGCCGAACGAAGAGCCCGCCCCGTTGGCGCTGATCACGCGGCGACAGCCCCCCGAAGAGAAGCCGTGGCGCCCTTGGTGACGTCACCGGCGCTGTGCCCACTCTGGTGTCTCGGGAGGCCTCGTCGACCTCTTCGGAGGCGCGCTGTGCCACGCCGGCGAGCTCCGGCTGGGAAATTCCCCCGCCGAGCGAGCCCGTCCCGTTGGCGCTGATAACGCGGCGACAGCCCCCCGAAGAGAAGCCGTGGCGCCCTTGGTGACGTCACTGGCGCTCTGCCCACTCTGGTGCCTCTGTCGCCTCGGCAGGCCTCGTCGACTTCTTCGGAGGCGCTGCTTCTCATCGGGTAGCTCCAGCTGGGGAAGTCCCCCGCCGAACGAGGAGCCCGCCCCGTTGGCGCTGATCACGTGGAGATAGTCAGAAGAGACGCTGTGGCGCCCTTGGTGACGTCACCAAGCCACGTGCAAGCGAACTCCCGTAGCTGATACTGTGATATTGCGTTGTAGTAGCAAATATTTATATCGTGAAATCGTTGCGAGTGATAGAACATTAAAGTTCCTACTAAATTTAGATATATTTAGATAGATTTTATTTAATTTGTTGATTGATACACGTGTCGAGTTACTTGCATGGTCAGTACATACTACATAGTAAGGTTATATTTTCGGATTATTCTAATATCTCTTGTGATTTTTGCAGTGCGACGGTTAGTTTATTTTTACGTAATGACCTATAGGTAAGAATAAAAACTAAATAGATTAACTATTAATTAGATAATTGTATATTCGTGGATGACATCTGGCTGGCAGTATTTCATGTTTAAGGACCACACGTTCCTTCGTATAACATATTTATTTTTATTACATTTCATATAAGCACTAAGTGCCATGTAGTTTTTGTAAAACAGTCTAACTATTTATAGGATATTCACAATTATGCTTTTTAGTTTATATTGAAGCTGTAAATAAATCTTTCATTGAAAAATCAATAAACAACCGCACAATAAATATTTACGCCATTAGAGATGTTTAATTTTTAAGAAATAAATTATGTAGGTATATTAGGTGTAAAGAATTCTACGTGCCTTATACAACAAAATCCTTTAGTCTTCCATTGATAGTATAAAATCTGCATAAAAGTTTAAAAAGGTCAACAACCTTATAAATTAATTATTTTTTTAGTTATAATGCTCAATGTACAATATTTGTGTTACCGAAATGGGTCAGTTAGGCTTCGTCTTCCATTGCCAGTTACCGGTCACGGACAGTATTTACTAACTAGAATTATTTTACTATTGTTATTTAACAGTAAACATTGTCTATGTAAATGTGGCTTCTATTTTGTGTAGTTACGGGACACCTGATTAATTTCATACCATGTCAATGAACAAATAGTATGTAAGTAATTATATGTATTTATAAATAGTTGGGATGTTGGAACGCTGTGGTACAATTGGTTCACGGCGTTCGCGATTGTATATATTGAAAGTGATATAATTGTAAGATCGATGTATAACGCTAAAATACTATGATGTACCTTAAAGAGATATGCCATTAAAATATAAATGATTTATTAATACATTGTTTTATTTTGTTTGGGTATAACCAAAATGTATTGCAATCGCTGATAAAACACGTGCGAGGTGGTAAAAGAAGACATCGTGACGACTAAAGATCGCAAGAAAAATATTTCGAAGGTATGAGAAGTCTGTAGTTAATTATGCCCAAATACACTCTGTCTAAAGGAAGACTTTGCCAAGCAATGCGACCTAATATGCATTTAACAAGCTGTAAATTTACGTTTAAAAGAACATAGTACAAAGTATACATCAACTAAGTAAAATGTATTAAACAGTTTGTCTGGTGGTGTTCCCAACATGAGATTTCAATTACATGCATAGCCAGTAATAAAGACAACGAGTACCTCCGTTGGTTAAGAACCGACACCGTGAAATAGTGGAGTGCTTGCAATCTCATTGGAACTCTAGATAAACTATTGCATATAATAGCGAAAAATCTCATTTATTATTGAGACAAGCTATAACGGTGGGCCACGCAGCAGCCTCGGCTGTTGCACGAATGGGAAGGCTCGTCCGGGTAAGTAACACGACCTCACAGAAGACCGGCGTAAAGTGAAACTTCTCACATAAAAAACCCCTTTAACCACTATGAGGTAGGTTGGTTTGGCTAGTAATGAGCGATTTTTTTCTTTCTAAAGTAACTTGCAAAGTTGTTTAGTATTTACTTTGTTAACTCGGTATTGCAGTTGGAGGGGCTGCATCAGGCTGATTTATGTATACCCTTGCATTTAATTTGATACCATATTCATTGCTTCCACAATACGTCCGCAAACAGACCTCTTGAGAGTTAACTGGCAGGAGTATTTATTAAAAAAAGAAAAAGATCACAACGTAGCGCAAATACTCGAAATGTAAAAATAAAGAACAGGCCAACAAGGCCACGTTATATGTAAAACGTCTTTATCCTGCCGGACCACACAAAGTCGAATTTTTAAATAATTCAATTTTCGTACGTAACCTACAATCGGCCGGCCGTAATTGAAACCCTTTTGTATCTTCGGTTTTTTTCATGAAGACATTAAAAAAGCGTAGCTTCGTCGGTGGTCGGTCTAATTCGTAAATGATTATAACAGTTTGTTTGCACTGTACAGACACTAATGGTGGGCTATTGAAAGAGTTATTGCACGGACGGCAGCAATTTGCTACAATCAAGGCTGGCGTCGCTTAATTATTTTCATAAGAGTCCCACCCTGGCGGTGAACGCAGTTGTGCAATAATTTGAAGTTTTATTTCACGGACAGTTATTATTCCCGGGCCTTTTTAATTTTTTATATTTTGAAAAATATATGGTAGCCCTTTGCACCAAATTTTCGTGATAAAAGTACGAGAAGAAAAATTTATCGTCTCTCTTATCATTTTTTTCGCAAAAAAAATGCTTGTATAACAGTACTACATGACTCATTCTTTGAAGAATTCCACGCAATGTGTTCTTTATTGATTTCTTAAGCATATTCACTTCACTTCTTCTTATTATTAGAAAATAATCAATAGAAATATATCAGCTTTTTACAAAAAAAAAATATTTGAATCATTAGACGTTCTGGTACTTGAAATATTAATTTAACTGATACAGACTTGTAAGTTGTTGAAATGCCCTTCACGGTTCAAATCATGAAAGTATAAATTAAGAAAAAAATTAAAAAAAAAACCCTATTACGGTACAGCTGAAATTTATGAAAAGGCCCTATATGTTTGAATAGAATATTTTTCTCTAACTTAATTGAGATTAAAAAAGCTATATGGCGCCTGCTTGATATTTACCACTTATTTTAAATCACTGTTATAATTTTAATGACACACAGGATTATGACAACTCGATTGAAGTGAGGATCAAAATCGACTCATGCGTTTGCTCTCCGCAGCCGATAAACATTCCTTTGCATCGCAAACTCGATATAAAAAGACCTTAATCGTTCATTAATGTGCGCAAAAATATACTTCTGAAATTAAATACAGTCTTTATCTATATACACAAGTAGTATACAATATACACAAAATTTAAACATATAAAATTATTCAAAATAAGGAATTAACAATGCCCTTTTAACGATCGAACAAAAGGAAACTTTCGCTCCCATCTTAAAGATCGCGTTTGCTTTCGGCGTACGTTCGGCTTTTAAAGGACGCAAATCTTTTAGTTTGTAGGGAAGTCGATAAAAAAACCGGCCAAGTGCGAGTCGAACTCGCGCACAAAGGGTTTCGTACCATTATCTATAAAAATTCCAAAAAAATGTCTGTTGTGTGGGAGCCCCACATTTTTTATTCTGATTTTTAGTATTTGTTGTTATAGCGGCAACACAAATACATAATCTGTGAAAATTTCAACTCTCTAACTATCACGGTTCATGAGATACAGCTTGCGTCTGTCACAGACGGACGGACAGACAGCGGATACTTAGTAATAGGATCCCGTTTTACCCTTTGGGTACGGAACCCAAAGGATAAGACACGTCAATATAAAGGCATTAGACATCTTTCGATGACTCAAATGTTCTCTTACCCGTATGCTGTGCCTGCAATATCGTGTTAAAACTTGTACTAATCGTGTTTTAAAAATAAAAATAGGAGAGAGATGCTCTATGTGCTGTAATTTTTATGTTATTGAAGTTTTGACATTTTGTGGTATTAATATTTCGTTAACACGATGGAAAAGTGTGACAGAAATCAAGTAAGCACGTGGCAGTGCTAAAGCTTTTTTAACGACATAAACTACGAACATGTGTATGGATAATATACATATATGTTAATATCTTTAATTATTAATTTATGCTTTATGCTTTTCATTTAGTTTCACATTTTGTGATTCTTGACGCAATAAGCATTTTTATTGTCGTTTACAATCTAATAATGTTTTGTTCATTAAAAAATTGAATTACGGCGGTCATTAAAAATGGTCCGTTGCCCAGTGTTCATTAGCCATCGCTCGCAAAAGCGATCGACTCGCCCGCGCATGCAGAGCTGCGTTTGATTGACGGCGCCTCGTTACCAAAGGTCGTTGCTTGCTCCGTGACTTGTTGGAAGGTATACTTTTCCTTTATCTTAGTAACTGAGGCAACGTATTAGCAGCCCCACATAGGTTTAAGTATCCAGGACTTAACCTTAGGTAAGCCAACCGTTCGCATGTCACCTTCTCACATGATACTATTCGACGGCTCTTAGTTCGGGTGAGTCTGTTTGATAGCAACGAGCGATTGGGCAGTCGCGTCTCCGCACCAGTCAGCTTTAATTCTATCTGTCATGCGCATTCCGGAATGGTCGACGTTGACGGCGCAGTCCGACTGCGGTGGTCCGAACGGATCTGAGGGTTTTTGTCGGCGCCCACCGCGGGTCTGCACGTTGCGGGACATGTGCGCGGCTTTGGTGGTCGCCCGTCTTAGAACCGCCGCTTCGGCTTTTGGCCACCTGGAACGTACGCACATACTGAACTACCTTCTGGAGCCAACGTACGTTTTTTATACTTTTCAGTACATCGCCGTAGAATGAATTCATTTGGTATGCTTTGACTTTTTTATTCCGAGATAGTAGTACACAATAGATCAATCTAAATTTCAATAAAATCCGTTATCATTGTGGCATGAAGACACCGATGAACGAGCGCTTCATCAAAGCTGATGTGCAAAAGGTAGCATTTAATTCATTTATCGATTAACTTGAAACTTTTTTTGATGAAACCATTTAATATATAAGATTTCTAAATCCTCATTCCGAAAAAAATATTTATCTACCGGAGTCCGTTTACGGCAGGCATGTGGGCAAAGATTATGTTCTTAAAAGGGAAGGCTTGATTATCTGACGCAGAGGTTGTTTACATTGTGTTAATGAGCGTTTACTTAGAGAAAAAATAAGAAAAAAAACCTCGGTCGAGGCACCACCCACGGCGATGAGACCCGCCACACGTGCGGCCCGTCTCAACTTGACAAGCTTTACAAGAAGAAATTCTATCTGTCGTCTCGTTTTGATCGATACTTTTTATATACTGTGCGTAGTTTTATGTTTCGAATTGACACGTGCGAATATGGCTTTTTGTATATATTTATTAACTAGCTGTGCCCGCGACTTCGTCCGTGTGGAACTTTAAATAAAAAAAATCTAAGATAAAAGTAGCCTAAGTTACTCCTTATTACATCAGCTATCTGAATGTGAAAGTCCCGTCCAAATCGGTCCAGCCGTTTCAGAGATTAGCCGGAACAAACAGACAGACAGACAGACAAAAATTGTAAAAAATGTTATTTTGGTATATGTACCGTGTATACATCCATATGCATTTAGTAAAAAGCGGTTATTTTAATATTACACACAGACACTCCTATTTGATTTATCTATATTTATAGATAATGAATAGTTTTATATGACTCACCATCGCTTCTTTTTTTATTTGTATACAGCGTGTCCTTACCAACGCGACTATAAATCAACACACATATAGAGGATAACTTTTTAAAATTGTATCAAAAATTTACATTCTTTAAACATCAATATTTACAGAGTTATAAAATTTTCCAAAACAAAGAATTTTAGAACATCCTTAAGTATAAAACTGTAACGCAAAGTTCATTTGTAAAGGTCACAAAGAGTATGAATGGGTTGAATGAATTTAAAAGAGACAAAACATACTGTTAGAAGGAGAGGCTTGTAATGCGACGCCGTGACAACGAATGAAAAAGTCTCCGAATGTATGAATCAGTCAGTTGTAGTTGTATAGGTGTTACAAATTTTGTTTCATTTTTACTTAATTAGTTTGCTTGAAAAATATTTTTTTTTTAAATTTTGGATATTTTTTAACGTTAATATTTTTTTATGATTATTGGCAAGTAGCGTTAGACGTGTGTTCATTTATTGTCGCGATGGTAACGACACGCTGTATAAATGTGCCTTGTAGTTTGTTCATTTGTACACATATTGTTTAGTTTAATTGATGTTATGCTTTTTTCTTGGCTGGATCGTCCACTGTTGGATTTGAGGCCTTTACAGATCCACCGAGCTTAAGGTGGCCGGGCACTGGGGCGCCTGGCCTGTACCCCGAATATGGGTGACAAAGCTCGAGGGCTCCCGAGGGAGCTACGGCTCGATCTGTCACGCCATTATTATTAGTACCGGTTTTGGACTCCGCCAAGCTCTTAGGTCGCTTTGGCCGACACTCCATGGAGTAACTAAGGTCCCCCTAGAGAGGACCTCGGCTTGGGCTGTTACTCAATATCCGTTTAGCATTCCGATTCGAGAGTACCCGAGAGGGCCGGACTTCGGCACGATTGATAGCTGTTATTTGGCTAGGAGAATTTCTAAAGCTATATTTGGAAAGCGTGGCGCTGGGAGAAGAAGTTTCGGAAGAAACCCCACCAACGCTTCTATCATAGCTAGTATATGTTTTCGGCACTTGACGGCAAGTGTTGTACTGTGTCTTGTGTTTATGCAGTTGTTTTATCCTTTTAATGATTATAGTCGGCTCATCATCAGGGAAATCGAGGACTTGTCGCGCTAAGCCATTTGCAACGGAGCTTACCTAGCGGTAAGAGTCTACCGGGCGGATTACGACTAACGGATTTGATATTGACGGTGTTGGAGATATCCATGGGAAATGTTATTCGCTTTACGTCAGATGGAACGCCTGCTCAAGAATTTCTGTCGTAACGAAATAGGAAAAACGGCTCTCTTATATAACCAAGTGAACTAACAATTTATTAAAAACAAATAAAGCCATACCTTATTAACTGGCTGCTGTTGGCGTTAATTATTACCTACAACGTTGGCATTCAGCAAACCGAATGACGTTTATGTTGGCTCCATTCCGGGCACGCCGTCGACATGTCCGATCCCGTATCGACCGACACAAAGGCCGGATCGATCGCAGCGCCGACATTAATCGTGCCAATTACGGCTCTTGCACTGGTTGGGAGACAGAGGCCCCTTTCAAATTAATCGAATTGATTAACCAATTGAGTTCGGCGCAATTCAGTTTTTGCGCGGGTACTTCGATCGATCGCGAGGTGATGAGCGCCCGATTGGTCCGAGAGCTCGCTACGCTGCTTAATGTCTGTCACCCTGTCACTAATTTGTACGCGTGATTTAATGATATATGACCGATTCAGAACCGCCGTGTAATCGATAAAAGGCAAACTATTTTATGAGCTTTTTGAAGTTACGCTTCTTTTGGCGCGTTTGGAAAAAAAGATGATGGTCAAATTTTTCCATGCGTACGCACACTGATGATGAAGTTGTTTGCGAAGCGACCATGTTCATGGTATTACCCTGACAACCAATAACAACATTTTGAGTTTTTTTCATTATTATATGAATGGATTGGCTTTCTAGTTTATGTTTCGTAATATATCGGGCAGTTGCGTTGTGGTTGTAAGCATTTGTGCTATCGTATCTTGGAGAATGATCCACGTGAAATTTATGTTTGTAAATCTTTCTTACCATCCAAGATATCAAAAAATTGTTATTACCATAAGATAGAAAAAAGTTTAAATGACAGTAGACAAGTTTGCTACATTCTTCTCTGGAGTTAGGATTTTTTCAACTAAAGGAACCAATTCATAATCTTCGGGACCGGTTTATGTGAATCTATAAGAATTATCAGAGCGGCGGATATTGAGGCATTCTTCGCCCAGAATTAACTTATAAATATTTCGCCCGATGTTTCTTCATACTCCTGACTCCCTATTGTTTCCAATAGAATAACTACAACGCGGTCATATTCTAAAATCTTTTTAAAGAGAAAGAAGAACAAAAAAAATTAAACATGCTTATAGCTTACAGGATAAAATAATGAAACCGAGAATATTTCATGTATATATATAACTTTTGGTAACATAATAAGCATATTATGTTCCCAAAAGTTAATATTTTTTGTATACGAGTAAATATACTGTGTATTTACTCGTTTACACAAAATAATAATTACCGTCTTTTAGTTACAGCCTTTGGATTATTATTTCTAGTCACGTTTACTATTCACAGTAAGTTTTAACGACACAGGTTAGGCCTACTGAGAGGACGATAAGATATATCTTCATTTTTCTCGTCTTGTTCAAACGTATTGTAAATTGGAAGATCCGTGGAAGTTATTAAATTTAAGCTGTATATTTTTACTTGGGACTTAAATAAACTTCGTTATTATTATTAGTTATTTTTAATGTTGACGGTTCAACTTAAAACAACAGTAGCAGATGCTTCTTTTTAAATTGTTTCACTTAAACACAATCAATGTTTATATATAGAGATTTTAGATTATGTTGCGTGCGAACGGAATTATGTGGGCGTCGTATTTTACGGCGACGGCCCGTACAGAGCAATGGCGACATTTCGATGCTTAATTACTTTCGCTGTTAATGCTCGCCTTAAAATAAAATGGCCGCGCGGGAATTTTATCGGGCAACACAGGCGAGCACCGACACGAAGCCCTCTCAAACCGCGACGTTTCATAATTATTCGCTATCAATATAAATAATGAATATGGCGGTGAAATTAAACTTTTTACCCGGCCGTCCTCCGTTACGTCGTCAAGAGGGAATTCATGGAACCCCATAAAGCGACTTTTGCCGTGGCGTGTGCACCAATTATGTGTGCGCTGAAAAAAGCTTCGAGCGTTTTACATTCTACTGATGTTGATTTACTGGTCGTTCGCGTTTCGGTGCTTTTTAACCATGTCCATAGTCTTTTAAAGGGTTGTGGTATAAGCAAAAAACGAATTAAATTGCATATATAGAAACATATTTGATACTTAAAGGGGTAGGCAGTGGTTACGGGTTTCCTCATTCCGTGTGCACACTTCTTACCTCGTAGTACACGGTAATGGGTACTTTTTACCCTGTCGTTTCTCATCGAGGTCGTCTATCGTCGATTTTGTTACTCATTTTCAAATCTTAAATTATTATAGTCAAGTTGAATTCAACGTATTGTCCGAATTCGCGTATCAGTCCTTTTTTAACGTTTTCTTTCACCTTAAGCTTCTTCCTAATTTCCCATTTCCGTAACGTGTTCCCTTTAAACACAGTCGCACTTGGAGACATGTCTAACTACCCTTAAATTTATTAAGATTGAAAGATGTAGTCTTATTATTAAGTCATTAAGAGTTAACTGAGAATTATTGAGCGAAAATAATGACTCTTAAATACTATCTAAAATCCTTGTTTCATTTAAGTTGTTATTGTGACTGCTACTCTTGGTATTTCTCAGTGAATACTTGTGTTAAGTAATTAGCACGGCAAAATAGTCTATATACTTACTTGGAAACGTGTTACTTTGTCACAATTTCCTTCAATATTAAACAATGTAATAAGAAAGTAATACGTTACTACTATCGTGAGTTGAGGTATATAACGTAATTCCCTTAAACGCTACGAGCGCGCGTCTCGTCGTAAAGACGTGACGGTTACAATGATTACAGGCTGTTGGTCACATACTAAAATGTGTCTTAAGTGACGGACTATTAATCGTGCAACAGATAAATAAATCGGTTTATAACATGAAATTTTTAATTTTTATGCAACAGCAACATATATCTTGCCTTCCTTACGCTTCACATCTTCCCTAACGAGGTTATTTAGACTAATGAACCCATCAAATTATTAGTCTTTTATTGACGGTGTATTAATTACACACCGTTTACGAACGTGGAACTGAATTTATAGCAAGAAAAAGAAAAACCAACAATGCTATGGTCAAAGCCAATGCTAAAAATTTCTCTTCTTCTTTATTAGGTACGAAAACAGAAAAACTTATATAATGATATTTAAAGATCATTATGGCAACATATGATCATATTTAAGAAATGTGGCAAGCATACATCCAACGAAACATTTCATTATATGCTAGCCAACTATATGTTAATGACAAAGTATTATACTTATAAATCTAAACGCTAACTAAACTTACTATAACTATGTAAGTAAAATTTGTGAAAAAGAGGCAAAGAACTATACAGATATATAACTCAAAATTTCATAAAAACATAAATCTAAATTTAATGTTAAAATAATAATTAATAGAATGAATATTTAAATGTTAATTAATTTCCAACTTATATATTGGGTTCGTTCTGGCATATCACTGGGCCCGTTAAATAATCTTTGGGCTATAAAGTCGGCACAGTATCTACTTCAATACTTCAGAATTACATATTCAGATGCTGTCCCTGGATTATGGAAAGTGCAGGCTTTATACTCAAGTCGAGTGGATGATTGCATAATGCATATCTGCTAATAAGCCACGGCTGACAGGCGTGGAAAGATAAACTTTTAACATAAACATTAACTTTTCATTAAATAATACAGATAAAAATCATTTTTAGTTAGGTCCATTTTAAAATAAATAAGCACTGATAGGATCAACGCAAAATGAGGAGACAAAGAAAATGGATGAAGAAATTTAAAATGACATACTTAATTTATTTAATTAAATAAGTTGATGAGTATAAGTTGAAACTCCTAGCACTTTGAATGACTTTGGCACTTGGTTCGAAGCGTTCTCGTGCCCTGTTTTAGTGAAATAGTAAAGGACAAGAATACTGGGTGCAAATACTCGCGTAGGTGCTATGTAGCCCTAAAGGTGGAGCTGGCCGCTTCGTGACTTACCGCAGGCGCAACAAGAAATAAACGCCACACGCGGCCGCCTTAAAAATGTTAAAATAAATAAAATGCACACGTCCCGGCTTTATCTTGCGCTCGCGCATAGCGAAGACAAGCGAGGATCGGCGCGCACTGAATTGAAAGCGCCACGCGTACTAATTTGTTTGCACATTTTGTTTTGAGATCACGACTTGATTAAAATAAAAATAATCGCAGAATATATGTATATATATTTCTTTATAGTAATATATGTTTCTTCTATTTTTGAGCTAACGCCTAGCTTCCCTGAGTCGCATCACTTCAACTTGCAACAGCAGAAACTGCTGCATGTTTACAACCGAAAAACTTATATAAACTACTATACAGTTAGTAAAAAAGTAATTTTTAATGAGGCTGCATCAACTAACTTCCTGAAAATGAGGTTCGCATTGGTCGCTTTTTAATAATGAGAAAAGTAAAAATTAAAAATAAGATTATTCAATTTATATTTGAAAATGGAATAGATGATTTGCATGCCAGTGTGCGTGGCGCACGTGGCGTGTGCCCACGGCAGGTGCTGCGCCGGGACCGGTCGCCGCACAATATGGCACATGCGTAGGCACACCATCACTCCGTCGCACCGAGGGACTCACGGCGACAGCGCGAAACATGGGCGCCTTACGCGCTGAAAACTCGATATCATTTATATCAGTGCAATTTACTTGGAATCATAGCCTTATGTATTATATATAAAAAATAATATATTGTCTAATACACTTATCTCCACGTTTCTATATGTAAATCTAAATTTAAGCGAGGAAAGAAGCGACCGTTAACAACAGTCACATTAATAAGTCGAATAAGCTAAGCAAGAGAGCGGTAAAAGATATTCATCGCTAAAGCTGCAGTTTACCACCGTGAACAGAATGTTATTAATTTTATAGTAATTTCAATATCTACAATTTATATGTAAATATACATACACGTTTGTATGTATACATTATTCTAATAAACTATTTGTGCAGAATCCACAAGGGTCTGTAATTTCATGCAAACATTTTTGGGATAGAGAATTGGGAACTAATCCCCTTTCTAATAAACATTATTTAAGGAAGAAAAAGTCATAAAACTCTTTTATAGCTGTAAGGAAAATTCCATTATATAGTGTCGATTATTTAAAAAGTCATAGGTTCAGAAATAAAACAATTGTGACATTTCAGAATTTAAACAACACAAAGTAGAGCAAGAAATTTGTGACCTGACAACTAAATATCAAAAGAAGCCTATTGGCATGTTACTAATACACTAAAAGTGACTCCTATTTCATATAGGTAGCAATTTAAGTAAAAATAAAAAAACAGAAATGAAGATAAAAATTCACTAGTAACTTTATAATTTTAGTAAATCATGTATCGATGCATTCAATCTTAAGCAGAATTTATTTCAAAATGTGTCAAAGCAAGAAGAAAATTTTCATGACTGATGGAAGTTGGTAGTCCCAAAGTTGTTTAAAATAAATTTTCATTGCAGTTCATATTATTAATATTTAAAACATATTGTAACGTCATTGACCACGTTGTTAAGCTCTTTAAAATATGTATGTGATAACCATGTTAATACTCATATATTTAAGTTTACTGCTAATATTAAAATCAAATGTAATTTAACGTGGATCTGGAGTTCAGTCTAATACTCTAACAAAAATACGGAAAGAGCGTATAAATAATTGAAAAGGTCTATAAAATAGTATGAATTTAAAACGTCTATACAGTACGATAATTAGCACTTTCGCAGACCTTAAATGTTGAAACTGACTTTAGATGTCACAACTGTTATAACAATAAAAGAGTTATAACAATAGAAGAAACATTTGCTAGGCATAGGATTCCGCAAGGCACGTGTTTGTACCGATTATATTCACGCCATGCATACAGTTATCGGCACTCCGTAGTAACCCTTCAAAGTTAACGTTATCATTAAAATTTACCTAATCGTAGTGTCCGCACAGATCCATCCGTTTGGTGGGCCTACGCAAAACCTACTCCAGCTCTATTCAAAGCGAAGCCTATTAACAAGCCTACAAGGCTCCGCTCTGGTTTTTTACATTCCCATGTTTAAATTGAGATCATATTTTTAGGTCTACTTCACTTCACTGCGCCTCTTTGTGATCATCGTACTTAAAGTTATTACATTATCATTATCTTATCCTTTAAACGAGCAATTCTTGTATATATGTATATATATAATCGGAATCATAGAAACGGCTCCAGCGATTTTCATGATATTTAGTATGTGCGTGGATTCGGGGGCGAAAAATCGATCTAGCTAGGTTTCATTTTTAGGAAATGTCCTTTTATACCTGTTTTCAGGGAATAAAAAATATCTTTCGAATATGACAGTAAATTTCGCCGCAAAAAAAATGTTATAATAACTCGGTCGGTCGGGCGGCCCCAAAACAGACAGCGGTTCGTATCACGATCATTTACACACTTATTTTTTTTTTACTTTTTTTCTACACCAGATCACTATCTTTATTTTTTATTTCCAAAATACATAATTTACCAAAAAAAACGTACTATGGTTTAACGTGGTTGTTAAACTATAGTACGTTTAACAAGTATAACTAGGTTGTCTTGGTCCCTGTGTGCTGGTTTTTTGGTTAAAATACTTCTATACAGTGCATGGTGTGTATGGTCAAAAAATTAGGACTGGAAACCTAATTTATTACTTTAAACGACTGAGTGAAAAATGAAACTTAGAGTCCGGGCACACGATTTTAATTAAATATACTTGAGCAACTTGAGTTCAATCCTCGGTGCCTGCACCAATGAAATTGTTATGAAGTGAATGAAATTGGTGAAAGAAAGCATAGTCTTGAATCCTACATATTTAAAAAAAATAACAAACACAAATATTTCTAACATATGTGAAGTCCGTCAATCCACCGTGGGGCCGCGTGGTGGAGTATGGTACTCTCAGTGGGCCCTTGCCCAGAAGTGGGACTTGCATAGTCTGTCTGCTTTACTTTACTTTTTATTTTTACTTTAAAAGAAAGCAATATATGAAATACATTTTTTTTTACTTAGCCTGATAAAAATGAGAGTAATAACGAAAAGCGACTTGTATATTCTGTTGCATAAAACTTTAATGGTTATTTTTGTAATAATGCAAGTAGGTACGCGTCTTTCAACGCTGTCCCGCGAATCAATTCACGGTTGAAGAGCGGTTATAAGTGGCGTGCATAATGATATCTGCAGTGACTTGCGCTTCTTTAAAAGCTTACCATGGTGTGCCGTTGGGGACTGCAACGTTGTGGTTTTTGCGAAATGCGGAGTCGTGATAAGTGTCATTTTTTTCGTTCGAACGAGATGAGATTTTAAAGTTAACAGCCAAATTTATAAAATGTAGCATTACATTTCATTAATTCCATTTTATTACTCCATAGTAATCATTTGTAGTCAAATATCGGCATCAAGTCACTCAAGATTCAAAAATTGACCTTGAAGATATGCTTTATGCAAATTGAGACATTAGAGTATCATCTTTATTAATGTTCTAGGATTGTTAGTTAATGTCATCAATTATATACCGTTTTTTATAAAGTAACTAAAAAGGCATGAAGTTCAGTTAACAGGCGTACATGTTAAACCGTATCGCAGGCAGGCTGGAAGAACAAAAGAGGCCACCAAAATAAAAGAGAAAAAAAGCAAAAACTCCCTTAAAGTGTGGCGCGAGGCGTCTACCGGCGAAGAAGCTCACTTAAACCACAAATCCGGTTCCGAGGGAAGCGTCGACCTCGCGGGGCACCGTTTGTTTTTTCGCCCGCGAAACTGTCTTATTTACGCTAATTAACTGAAGTATAAGTTCGTGACTAGCGCTGTGGGAGCCGGGGGCCGCGGGGACCGGCGCGGGGCAAAACGTGACGCCGGCCCGTGTACCCCTTTGTCATGAGATTTGCACTCGAATAATACACGCCTCGGCGCGGTGCCACGGGCCCGACCGCTGACGTCCGTAATGATACGTTAAACAAGCCGAGCCTCTGAGCGACGCCGCGCATTCGGATTCCACATGTGAAGTTTGAGACGAGGCTCTTTTTATAGTTTAATAGGGCTCGTTTATGGTTGCTGTAAAGGGACACGCACGCACTCATAATATCACAGTATATTTATTTATTATTTGATAGAAATAAAGTACAAAGAAAAAAACCTAGTGAAAACCAACTTAACCAATGACCGACTTACTAAATTCAGTATTAAAGCCGTATATTTTGTTTTTTACAATATTCGTTGAGACTTGTGTTGGTTTTACGTACATGACATATGTAAAACTAGCACAAGTCTTAGTTCATTTCAAGTGTATACTAAAATATCGTCGATTATGATTATCAAAAGATTACTTAAATAAATAGTGATGCTTGATTCTTATGTAGTTGCTACTTAAGCACTGAAAAGAAATTATATTCCGATTCATGACTATGGTTTTCGACAGTTCATTATTTTTACATTAAATGGTCATTGTAATCATTTCAGATTAAGTGCACAAAACAATACGATTTTTATGAAGTTGAGATGATAACCTTAAAGTTTTAGCTTGCAAAAGAATCAAAGAAAGATAACTGGCCAACTATAGCTCGATTGCAGGTTTTTGTTGCAAATTAAGGGGACGCAGCACCAGTGGCAGATGTTCAAGTCTTGAACATTCAAGTGATCCGAACTGGGCCATAATAGAAAGGAAGGTATGATTTCGCGGTAATATAAACAGCATCGTGCATCGCGTTAATGCAAGACCTTCAATAAGATAATTCTTCAAGCAATAGACACCCGCCGTTTAATAATCTCGATGTTGAGTACCGAAACGAATTCTAGAATGTTCTGCGGTAATACAGCCGCGGGATTCTTGTGAGACAATATTAAACAGGTGCGTATTAAATTGTTGAATCATTACTTATATATATTATAGTCTATTTAGTTCAAAGTTACGGCTATTTCAATACTGTATGTTGATAATATATCGGATATAGGTTTAAAATGCCGTATGTTATAATAAACCTAATATCAAGGTTCTCCATGTTTGCTCGAAACAAAAGGGGTTTCTATCAATTTGCAATTAACTGAACGTATGACAATACTCCTGGTACATACATATTTCAAAATTTACTTATATAAATACTTATGTTGGCTGGACATCAAAAAAGGCATTCAAATGTTCAACGAGTTTAATATGATATATTTTTTGACATTTTATGGATATATTTTTGAGTGCGTTATGAATTCAATACCGTCTTTCAAATTGAAAAGATCTTATCACGAAAAATAAAGGAGAAGAATATTAATCAAAACTAACATTTTTTACAGGAATTGAAAGTGCTTCGAACTCCAAACAAGTTGTTAATACTGTCCCAAATGAGAAACTACTGTCCCAGCGGAAAATGTACGACACTTGGATTTGAACCTGCGAATTCTGATTCACTGAGATTACGCTCCCACTTTATGAGCAAAATAAAGCCAAAATTAATTTAGACCTTATTTAGGAAAATGAGAGGTTATAAGAAAAAAATGTGTATTGATACTTCAAAAACCTGTTCCTCCTTTCCTTTGATTGTTCGGAAATCAAAATTCTTCAGTAATGAGTGCAGTTTCCCAGTACCGTATGTGACTTATGGGACTCACAATGTGTTGTTTATTACAGTCATTACCTGCCCGGAGCGTACTCGAATTATAGAATAACAGCTCCGGAGAGGGAACATTCATTTTTTATCGAAACATGACGCCTGGAGGGAAGTAATCTCTGCGTTCCGTTGCACGTAACAGTTTTTTTTTTAATAAAATTAAACATGTTAATACGTCTAACGTTCTATTCACATTTCTCTTATCTGATATTATTAAATCATAATATAAGAGATATTATCTTTTAAATGCTATTAATGTTCTTAATTGCTTAAAATAATGCACATTTTAGGTTTTTTGTGTATTGTTTTAGCTGTATGGCCGAACGTAAATTCTAAAGTACTCGTATATGTGTGAACGACTTCGATGCCTGATATGGTAATGGGATTTACGATACACACAGCCGCACTAAGAGATGTCAGTTAGCTTAAATTCGGTACATGAGATCATTTATTTGTAAATGGTGAATTATTTCGAATTAACTAGGACTGGACCTTGCAGAATGAATTTAATGTTACTTATATCCCAATGCACTAGCCCGAGTTATAATAAAAATTTCAAAATCTCACACATTTATCTCCGAATATGAGTTGTGGTCTCAAATGTATTCGTAAACCCTCTGTGAAATAAGATCGTGGCTTCCTACAGCAATGTATTCAATATAAAAAAACAAACACGACTTATCTTTACGAATAACGTGGACAAGAATGAGCTAACTCCAAGCAGCGCGGAACTTTTCCGAGTTTCGTTTTTTCCCTTTGCCTCGAATACATTCGCCCGCCACCGAAACTGGCTTAAGCCGATTTCATACATATTTAAGTTCGCCGGCGGAACTGACGCAGCATGAAAGACATGCGGGCGTGACTGACTGCGTGCCCGTCTGTCAGAGCATCGGTTATGCCTCTCCGAGCGCAATGAGCGGCCGCGCATTCCGCCCTAAGCAAATTGAATGTCGCAGTTGTGAACACTTAATCGCTTCCTGGATTTTAAAACACGCGACAGGAACGCGTAATGTGTCCTGCTGACTCAGTGGTAATTACAATCTGTAATCATTAAAAACTATGACTAATTAATTGAAATCGACAGCGTTTAAAATATGTACGCCTTTGAAACTCTTCACGGTAATCCGATGCGTTGCATCCGGGTGTTGCAAACGATATTGTTTGACTACAAAAAATCTGATTGTGCCAAACGCACGAAAAGCGGCTAGAGTTCGAGTGATTACGTGATTATTTTCAATACAAGTCTAGAGAACACATTTGAAGACTGGTAACTATCGGTGCAGTCCTAATAATTGTATACGAAATCCATCATGAGCAGTGGCTTGCAATAATATAAAATGTCTTGTCTTTGCGTTTACTATCTTCCGTTCCATGGCCGTTACTCAAGGTGGAATAGTTTGTTGATCGTAAAGTATAGCCATTAGTGACATGACTAAAAATAATGAAGACAGAACGAGCTGGTCGTCCGCACGGAACATTTCCATAGCACAGTCGCAGCCGCACGATAATTCCGCATAATGACTGGCCGCGCATTGCAAATCCACGAGATCTATTCCGCGCACTGACAAGGCTACCGGAATTACCGCTTCGCCTTGAAGGATCACTTAATAGCAGGAGCTGTCGAGACATCCAGCGTCAGCCATGTAATTGTTTCCGCGCGCACGTTCTTTGTGTAAAACAAAAATTGGTGTACCATAAATTATTAAAAAATCTTTTTACAAACATCAAATATCTTGTCATTAATGGCCGTGCCATGAAGAATATTTCGGCACCTGCTATAGATTTGTTTCTGTTTAATGCTTATCATTGAGGAAATCAAACGTATTTTATCTTTGATTTGATTTTGAAGATTACATACGTGTCAACTACAAGATTACAAACGTTTCTGTTGTTGACAATATTTCGAGAATTGCTTATACAGTCTACTTCGTATAATATTCTATCTAAATCTTTATCAAGTAATATAATATTATCGCCTTCTTGCTGGCTATATAAAGCGTTATCAGATTTAGACTTTGATTTGATTTTATATCTGCTTAAATCAGTTTTTACAAGTAATTAAGTCCAGTAAAGGGTGCGTAAAAGAGTTATTATTTATGTCAAAATGTCCAACAGTAAACGCATTATCTTCTATTCCACGTAGGTATGTATAATATCTTAAGATGAATCGGGGATATTATTGGTGATAAATATAAATTCTTCAGTGAATTTAAATATTTAAATATTTTTGGTACTTTGTTGTGAGGAGGATGTCAATATTAAAGATGAGCCAGCTTAACTCTATGGTATGGTACGTGAATCTAAAGTTGAACCGATTTGTTGGTTGGTAACCGCAAGTTTGTACTAACCAACTAAAATTGTTTGCGTTCCTCGCGTTATCTGCCGCCTCGTTGCCTACTACTACCTTCGCAACACAAAATAAACTTTCCATCCATTGTTGCTAGCGGAGTGCAAACAAATCAATCAGTGCCTGTCGCTTCGCTGACGTCTTTCACGTAGCACTTATCATAGTAACGTTCAGGGTGTATTTGTTCTCTTTGCGTGACTCAAGAGTCCTCTGCGCCGCCACACGTGCGATCATCTCGTCGGGTTTCTCCATTTAATCGCGACCTCTACCACCGTATCGCGAGCCCGTTTCCGAAGTAATGCGGGTGCGACGCTTGCGCTGGTTTCGACCGGCGTGTTCCAAGTTATTTTGGACGCGTTCGCTTTGTGCGGATCTAATTCTCGGGCGGCGCAACGCGTCACGACCCATCAGTGGGGTCCGCGTCGGAGGCAGGTTGCACACGACCGCGCATAAATTATCAAGACGCCTTCGGCCGATACAAACTCGGATGCCTCCTGAGCAATTTTCTATTCTACGCGGCTTCGAACAAATAAAAGAGGCAACATCGAAAACAATGTTACCCATTGATGGTGAACGTAAAATAATATTCATATCAGTAACATATAAATTGTATGAACAAAATTAAAAATGATTATATCAAATATCGATAGGCGTTCTAATAAAAATGCCTATCGAGTACAGTCAACGAGTGGATATCGTTGTGTGAGCCGTATCCAAAACGCATCAGCTATAAAGCCCACGACGCGTTATATCAGTTAGTGGAGGCACTCTAATAAACATCGGAAGGCAATATCGCTAACGACGCACCTCGCTCGGCCATTGTTCCATATCCATTATCCGCGCCGCGTGTATAGCGGCTACCTCGTAAATAAATGCTGGTGTGCTCGGCGCTCGTGTGGGTGTAGATAAGGGGCATCTAGCGGCGGCATCGGCGCAGACCGCGACGACCTCAACGCGACCGCGCGCCTCTGCACCGGTACAGACGCGTCCACAACGCTATACATTTTTAATTTAAACTAATGTAAAGGTAATAATAATAACATAGAAATATAAAACTATATCGAAACGAATCTATGAAGCGATAGACTATCTGATTTTAGGTTTTCCAATCGATGAAATCGTTATAGCTGTATTCCGATTCATTAAGAATTATAACATTTAATTTATGTATATAAATGGAGGTGACAGGACAGTTACATTATACTTGCAATTTTGAGGTCACGAGTTCGAATTTCAGAGGTGTACTCGGTGCATGTAACTGTTACAGGCTAAACTCTCTGTCTCATTTGTACTCGTAGACCGACTCCGGGTCTGGTCGTCCCTCATTATTGACCATTCCATCATTCCTCCATTCTTAGTTTGTAAATCATTCAGCTTCACTACATTTGTAAATTTTATTAATCGAAATTGCATAGTCAATTTGTGTGAAAACAGATAAACTACTACTATTAATTTGCAAATTAAACTAATCTTCACTGGATATAGGTTTAATTTGGAATTTAAATTTTGAAATTAATCAATTAAATGTACACGTAACGTTATAAAAATACAAAGGATTTTTTTTCTTTCTTTCACTTGTCATTGGCATAAAGGATAACAAAATACAACAATCATAGAAAAAATACAATGTTTATAAAGAAAATGTTACCGAGACACTGATGTGCGCGACGGTTAGGTCGCGCGCTGGGCGCGGGTGGCGCGTGGCTGGGAACTTGCGGCGCGCGCGCGTTCTCACGGCCCCTTTGCCCCCCCCCCCCTCCCTCCTGCGCCCCCCCCCCCCCCCCCTCCCTCCTGCGCCCATAACCCCCCCAGCCCTCCCACCTCTCGCTTCTAAGCCTCCGTGTACGGCCAGAGCTAAATCTGAATTCACCTTACGCCGCCACGTTTGTCCGTTCATGTTATGAATTCGTAAGATTTCGTTTTGTTCCATCTCAACTTCTAATATCTCGCTCGCTGTACATTTTCTGTTTGATTTCATTTTCGGAGTCCAAGGTCAAATACCAATGAAATTAATATGGGGCCCTTTTGAAGTCTGTTGAAATTGGAGTTTTATTAAGGAATGGATTATGATGAAATGAAATTCTTGATTAAGTATAATTTTATTTTTAGTGCTATATATAAATTAATAGTAGTAATATAAGAAATATATAAATTAATAGTAGTAGTAGTAGATAAATTATGTAAGGTCTTTCGCCTCTGTCAGGACTCTAATTAGTACCCATGCTCTAACCAAGTTATTTTTTTATTGCAAAAAAAACTTTAAATCTTGTCAAATGTTCAAAGCGCAGTCGATTTAAAAAATAATCATAAAATATATTTACACTCATTCTTCTGATCGAATTATAATTATTTATCAATGACATGTTTGTTGTCCAAAATATTTTTTTATGTGAAATGTTGACACGCAAGTAGGCGTTTTACCTGAAGTTACGTGAATACCGCCGCTCATGCGTTGACAAGCTTTTGAAAATTGGGTCTCTCACTCACGATACGAAACGCGAAAGTATTTGTCACACTTCTGTCATACGTCTTCTGTGAGGTCGTGGTATTTACCCGGACGAGCCTGCCCATTCGTGCAACAGCCTAGGCTGCTGCGTGGTCCTACCACAGTGAAATAAATGTTATGGTTACGTTATTACATTTTACTTAATTATTTTATACATATAAATGTTCGTTAACTATTTTGTTATTTTATGTCAATGGTTTTTAGCTCACCGATTGTGCTAAGATCCTTCTTAGCTATAAAGCATTTTTCTGTGGCACTGAATGATTTTGATGATTTTTTAGGACATTAATCTTCCTAAGATCTTGAACGTAAACTTCAGATCAATTAATGTTTAACGAACAATATACATACTTAAATTTTATACGAATATTCTACCGCCACTCATGGACATCCGCAACATCCGTAGGGTTGCTGATGAGTAGCCAACTCTTAATAAAGTGGTCCCCGGTTTCCGCTTTCACCAGACGAAACGCAGAAGAGTAACATTTCCACTTCACGCCTGTCTTCTATGAGGTTGTGGACTGGGTACTTGCCCGGACGAACTTGCCTATTCGTGCAACAGCAAACGCTGGTGCGTGGCCCCTTTTAAAAAAAACATTGCCCCCACTTTAGGCTGACATTATCCTGTGTTGTAAGAACGTTTTACAAACATAAATTGCACGAGGACAAACACCCAGATGCGAAACAACTATCTGTGGGTCGCACAAATAGTTGTCCCGTGTGGGAATTGAACCCACGACCCCCGACGCCGAAGCCAATACCTTGGCATCAGCGCCACGGAGTCATCAAGTCATCGGCGTCATCAACAAATAATTTCTAAATGTTGACGCATATAGCGTTGCGAAACTTCGCCATTGCCAATCGGTATCGTTTTCATACTAAAACCAATTACACCATTCAAAGCCTACACTCGGGCCTAGTAGTTAACGAGCATAGTTGAATGAGACTGATTTTAAAGTCGATGTCGTTGGACAGGAGATAAATGTTTGCAGTTTGCGCCGCATATTAACGGAGCGAACATGGGATTGGGAATTAGCTTGCGAACTTTCACCAACTGTACACTGCACCGTAAACGAATTCCATATTTAACAACATTCCCGCCTTACTGTTAACTGCGACGCGCCCCGTCTTCGCACGGGTGCAATGCCGAATGCTTGTTTTCGCCATCGCATTAGAAGCCTCTAAAATTATCAATGTTTCTCTATTACACTTTGCATGAATTATACATATAAAATTTCCTCTTGAATCGTTGTTTTAAAGATCTAAGCATATATAGGGACAGACAGACAGCGGGACGACTTTGTTTTATACTTTGTAATGAAGAAAGTAGAAAAAAAAGCAAAGAAGAATAATTCAAAACATAATTAAAATCGATCATTAGCTGTAGAATTTCAAAGTATGAAAAAGAGCTGATGATAACTGTAACTACATAAAAACTGTTTTATTTTTGTTCAGTGTCACTGAGCAGCGTTTATTTTGCGATGATCACTAAGGCTATATAATAACCGGACATTGCTAACTTTTTATTGGCTCATTTCGCGAACATTGAATCCGGGCAGTTCGGAAGGAATGTCTGGTAGTTTCCCACGCAGGGCCCAGGTACGGCCGTAATGGGTACATGGCGTACCGTATCCAGCGTCCCTTTGCACAACAACTAACATTTCTCTTAAATGTCCGACGGATGCTTCAAAATTTATTATATAATCCACCTTACTTGGCGGTTGCTTTTTATATTGCTATTGGGCTTTCTTTTTACTACATGGATCGTTATGTTTAATGTACATGACCTGTTGCTTGTCGCCTAATGCTGCAATTATTGATAAGGATAATAATTCTGATCTCAGAACTTGAAATGTGTGATTTCACTGTTGCAGATATACGAGAACGTAGTCTTTTGCCTTTGCATATGTGTTCTCTCGAATAAATTGAAAAGAAAGATTACTTATAGTCGTTCTGTTGTAAATGATGTCTTTAAATTAATGCTTCATAAGAATCAACAAAAAATATTATATCAACTGACATAAACTCTATGAAAGGCAAGTCACGATGTTAGTAACAAAAAAAACCTCAACACGATATTAGTATCAAAAACAACAAATGCAAAAATTTTACCACAATTTGTCCACCTCATTATGCACAGAACGCTTCAGAGGATAATTTCAATGTACAAACGTCATTTTTGCATCTAATAATTCAAGTATCAGATACTATCTTTTGGTATTTTGCAGATATGTTAGTAAACTCATTGGCACACTTCGAATCAGACTGGTTATTTTGTTATCCTTAAGAGATTGTAGAGATGTTCGGTAAGGAAGCGTGCGAGGATGATTCAGCATAACAATGTTATTTTTAATGCATTCGCGGTGCACATCTTGTCTATGTGTAAAGAGAGCCGGCTAGCCATTAATTGCATAACAATAATCCGACCGCATCGTCGCCGGACTTATCTAGGATGGAGTTCGCTCACGCATGCTACGTGATTGTTTGCATGCACAGAGCAATTTCACCATAGACTCATTACAAAAGTTTCTTTCATCAAATGAATAAAATCCGAATTATGTTTTAGCCGATACCTTCTTACATGTATTTAATTTATACAGTATTCGATATATATAAGGTAACTAGTACCTGCCAAAAGCAGTTTATTGAAAACTCTATGTATTTACATCTACTATATCAAATATAACTAACATTTGTACTAGGACTTATTAATGCGTCGCATAATTGTTGTATTTTAGTACAACTTAACAAATTATTTTACGATTACTTGGCCACCTCCAGTAAGGTAAAAAGTCGCGATGAATTTTAAATTTATACAATTAAAGACGGTAAACTAACTATATTAAATAAATGCCATCAGTAAACAAAATGAGATTTTCTTTTATTTTCGTTATCTGTGGAAAAATTGTCTATGGACGCATCTCATTGAGTCGGTATAGCCAAGGGTCCGCGCACGTCGCGCGACTCTTAGATGTAATCTGTTTGTTTTATGAGTCTAAGCCGGCGGCACGCTTTAAACTCCAGCCTTTTCAATTTCATTGTGACTTGTTTCAGCCTCATTGTAGCTTGGGACAGAAATACGAGGCGTAAAAGGGATATAATATTCGGCCTATTACTAAGATTTTTAGTGTGTTAGAGAACTATCCGGACCTACCTACTAGAACAGTACTATCCGGAAGCCGTGCTCGAAAATGACCGCGACAGTCGCGGGTGTTTTTGGTCGACATAACAGATAAGAAGACAAAGTATCTAGACCTGGCTCACGAGGTGACCGACATGTGAGGTAGTGTGTTGATTGAAATTATCCCGATAGTCGTGTCTGCGAAAGGGTTGATCCCAGTCAGCCTCTCCGAATATCTGAGGCGACTGGGACTCCGGGACGGAACGTTCCATTCCAAGCTCAAATGCAGAAGGCGGTGCTCCTCGATACCGCCCGCATCATCCGCCGGTTTCTCTCCCTTTTACCCTACCTCTCAGCCGTTTGGTCTCCCCTGCCGTGGGCTTCCGTCTGGTTGGGTCCTATTTATGTATGTATTATATACAATATTTATATCTATATATGTGTTTGTATTTACAATATTTATTTTATATATGCAATATATTTCTATATGTTTATTTTTTTTAAACCTAACGAACAAGAAGAGAACAATTAAATATCGCCACCATAGTAATAAAATAAAGCTTTATTTAATTCCATGCATAGAACATATTGAACGATAACAATTGGTCAATTTCATTGTGATTATTTTTAATATATCTATATTCTATATTAATGTTAATTAATGTTTTTGTATCTTTTGTTCCTATGAAATGAGAAAGCTCCACCCGCTATGCGTATATAGCACCATCCACTGATTAGCTTCTAACACATATCTCTCTAAAAGCAGGTAATATTAATGTATATATAATAATTGTCACAAAATTGTGACCTAACTAGGTACAACACTAGATACACAAAAGAACTAGATACACAGAAAAAAAATAACATTCCTAAAGACCCGTCACTTCAACAACTCAAGTCACCGCATCATCCGTGACCAAACAGCTAGCCGCGAGAACAATTCGCATCTACATGCAGGCGAACAGATAATTTTAGGAGCGTATTCCAGTCAGAGTAAAAATTTACATAAACACGGCTCGTGACGCCGCGCATAATGGCCCTAAGTCACGCCTCACTCGGCGGCGATCCGATCACGTGCGATTTCGTCATCCGCGGTACGTAGCTCTATTGCTTTGTTAAAAATGAAACTGAACAGTTTGTTGCCTAAGGGGTTTATGGAATAAGGTGGCAAAAGATATGACGGTTCATCTGATGTTAACCGTTGCCCGTGGACATTTACAACACTTGATCTGCAGATGCATCGAAACCTTTTAGATAAATGGATCCCGGTTACCTAATTACACAACCGAAACGGAATAATACTTCCATTTCACGCTGGACTTCTGTGGAGGCATGATACACGGTCCGGAAGAGCCTGTCTATTAGAGTAACACCAATAAATGCTGCAAGGGCCAGGCACATTTAAATAATAATGTATTAAAGGTCTCTCGTTCATTTTATGTGATAGAATCGTATAGGGTTTTTTATGTGAGTAGGTGGCAAGTGAGCTGATGGATCATTTTTAGTGATCACCGCTGTCCATGGACATTTGCAGCACCCGTAGGGTTGCAGATGCGTTACCACGTTTTAATAAAATGGGCTTCGGCTACCACACTCACGAAACGTAGAAGTGTAACACTTCCACTTCACGTTTGTCTTCTGTGAGGTCGGGATACTTCCCAAGACGGACATGCCCATTCTTGTAACATTCAAGACTTTGGGTGGCCCTACCACAGTTCTGCTAGAAGTCTTCACGCAGCATCCACTGCTGTTGCACAAATGGGCAGGCACGACCGTTGAAGTACCGCCTCACAGTAGACCGGCGTGAATATATTGTATTGTATACTTTCGCGATTCGTCTGGTGAGTGAGGTAACTGGGACCCACTTTTCCAATGTTAGCAACGAATCCACCCGTCAGGTTTTGCAGATATCCATCTCTAAATATAAGGTGAGTTACTACCTACTTAGTCATCTGCTCCCATTATTAAAATAATCAGTAAACAAATCCAATACGAAAGTAGCTATACTCTGCGAAGTTCGTACAAAGACACGATTTAAATTAAATCACACGGCCATTGCATGCATTATGCTGTTTTTGTATTTTCAGTACGTAACAAATGAGAATAAAAAAACTTTTCAACTTAATCATGAGGTGACAACGTAGTATAGCTTGATTTTTTATCGGAGGTGATAATAAATGCAAATAGTTTACAAGTGTGTGGTAATTTACAGTTAGGGGTGCTTTATAATTCTCTGTATCAGACGAGTATTTTTTTTTTATTATGCAGCAGACGAATGTGCAGCTCAATATTAAAATATACAATTGACCTGAGCGAAATATTAGTGTTTGACAGTCAAGAATGAGCAGCCACACAGCTTCGGCTGCCTCCTTTGCATACAGTCTCAAGAGGGCTCGTGCGCAGACAAAATAAACAAAGCAACACGATTCAAATTAAGCGAGATAAGTCTGCAAAAACACGCTACCTGCGCCTCACTCTGGGACCTTATTATGAGGACACCGCTTTGTCTGCGCCTGACTAAAATGACGGGGCGAACCTTCAGCGGTCGAAAAGCGAGACGGACTGCGCTGCCCCCCAAAGGCAGAAAGGAATAGAGCAAAGGAATCCTTTCTAAAACTAAGGGTTATGTCAAAAGTGGCCGGGCAGAAACAAGTTATTTAAATTCGACAGCACCCGGTGGACGCGCCGCGCGCCGACCGCACTTAATTCTTTTTTACCAATATTCGTATCATTACGACGTTCGCGTATTGAAATTAAAATGCCGCGGCGCATCACGCGAATATCGTGTACGATGTCGTGCTAATGTATGCGCGCGGGCAATAAAGTAATGAACGGGACCGTTCAAACGAAAACGCCAGAGCATGGACACCAGTCCACGGGCGAACTGTTTTAATTTCATATTCCAATGGACGGCAACGTATCTCATCCGCTGCGACGGCCTCGCAGCGTTTATGCAAAGCAGATGCTAATTCAATTTGCACTCTGGAAGATACTGCCTTAGTAAATTCACCGCCTGATGGCCGTTTCACGACAGCGCGCGTATTGATTTTGCATATTCGTCGAGCGGATTTAGTCCAAAGATAAAAAAGAGACTCGCCAAAGACAAATGTTTTCCAAATTTTCGAAATAGGTTTACACAGTATCAAGTTCATTTTGGCATTCGAGGTTGCGTGTGTTTCATTGATTAGTCAATGCTAAAATCTTACTGCTACGGCTGTGTAACATCCGAAGTTGTTGGGTAAATTTCAAATAAGATCAGTTTGATTAATCCATAAATTCAATTGATAGAATTGAATATTAGTAGAAAATTTTTAATCTGTAAAAAATAATATTTATTCTTGCTGCCATCGCATACATCTGTATCCTTTGATATAACATCCCCTTAACATAGAATCAGACAATGAAGCTCACAATTATTTGTGTTGTTTTAGTTAATCCTATTCAGTTAAAAAAAAATGTAATAAATGTCCTTTTTAAGCACGACTTCCTTGGTGGTTAATATTCTTTTTTTTATTAACTACCACCTTACTAACTAAATCTCGTAGTGGTTAATAAGAAAACGGTGAGAGCTAACAGATAAGAAACAGACAATAACAAAGTCGAGAACGACCTATGGCCCTCTTTGCATATAACTTATGCCATAGTTACCAGTATATTATATGACTGAAATAAAAATTAATAGAATTTCACGGACACTTCTGAGAGTCTTTATTATAATCTATATACCTTACTAACTAAATCTCGTAGTGGTTAATAAGAAAACGGTGAGAGCTAACAGATAAGAAACAGACAATAACAAAGTCGAGAACGACCTATGGCCCTCTTTGCATATAACTTATGCCATAGTTACCAGTATATTATATGACTGAAATAAAAATTAATAGAATTTCACGGACACTTCTGAGAGTCTTTATTATTATAGAAATGTGAACGAGGAATTTTTGAATCGAAATATTTGTTGACTGCCAGAGCACGCAGTAAAGCAACGAGAAACAAAACTTCGTGATGACATATAGGCTTAGTGCTAAACAACATTCTCTTCTAAGACAACATCGAGTTTCCGATAAGTGTGGAACTCTTCTTTTCTATCTAAGCATTTTATTTCTATTGTCGGATTCTTTTTTAATATATGCATTGAATTTATTCATTACCAGCTACCAAATGCTTTCAAACTAAATAGGTTTAATCTTCACAAGTACATAAACATGTTTAACGTTAAGTATAAAGGTTCACTTGCTCCGGGAGCTCCGTTGGTCAGCGCTTGAAAACATTTACGAACAGGGCAATAAAGCAATCCGACGATAAATTACATTAGCCCGGACGCTTTTTTATTGTGGACAGGAACGACGTAATTACTTCCATTTAGGTGCAAGGGAATATTATGTATCACGGAGCGAATACGTTACTTGCAGTACGAAGCGAGCGTCGTTTTATTTGGTACGCAATATTGCCAATATTGTGTACCAAAAAAAAAACGAAATGGTATATGACGGTCAAAATAAAAATGAGCTGTAAAACGTTTTAGTAATAATAAAACGATTAAATCATAAATTGTATTGTTCGACAAATTTGTGGGTATTGTTAAATGAATTGAGGTGGACCGATGACATCGTAAGTCGCGGGCAATCGGTGGATGCAAATGGTATTGTATGTCGTGTCTTATGGCGTTATAAAGGGGAGAGGCCTTTGTTCAGTGGTGATCTTCCGGCTCATGATGATACTGCTAATCGAAAGAACATTTAAGGTCGAGTAATTAGTTAACGTGTAGCAAACACTCTGATAGCTCGACGTAAGAGTTATTTCAATTTTACTCACTTAAAATTGAAATAAAAAATAAGTGACTGATTGATGCTTAAGTACGAACAAACGGTGCTCATAAATCGAAATAAAGAGAGGGGAGGAACACGTTCCATACACGCAACTATGTTCGCGTCCTCCAAATTGAATGAACCAACAGCATCATTGCAAATCACGCGCGGTTATAAATTAGCGAGTGTCGATTTACTGCACTCTTTCCCTTGCGGTTTTAATTACAAAATCAATAATTAAATTGCGCGGGCGGGTTAATTGATCGTCTCCAGATAAGACATCGCAATCGGCGCGCGTGCATCGTACTGTACATTTGAATAATTACGGTAAACATGTAAACTCGAGCCCATATCGGAATCGAGACGGTGCGCGGGCAGGTGTTATTTTTTAATCTACTTTTATTTATAAACTGCTGGTCTGTAATAGATTTAAGATATCGCTATTTACAGATTAACTCGCTCTGTTAATGTTCCAAGACAAGCGTGGAATTTGGCACAATGGAGAAAAAATCAAAAATCAAAGTAGTCAAAAATTGTTTATTTCCTTGATTAAGTATAGATTTCGCTCTTACTCCGTTTCACTTTATGTGTTGTTAGTAGTTAAAAAAAATTATAATTAGAAAAATAAGATTTTGTTTCATCTGTAACTTTAATTAATTTTTTTTCACCATATAGCGAAGAAAAGGATTATTAGCTAACTTACTATTACAAAAAATGTTTGTTCTAAGCTTCTATCGCCCTAATAAAAGATAAAATGAAATACTATTCTTCTCTACCACGTTGCTCCTGAGACAGACTTTATTATCAATTAATACTACACCAAAATGCACCAGTTAGTACATTGAAACAGTTAAATTTAAAACATTCATTGCTCCATTTATCTTGGGCAGCTAAATTGCCCGACAATATCGCAAAGCGACCTCTATACAGTGCACCATAACAGATCTTTAAACGCCTACCACTAAAGTTCCAGACACACGTTAACAATACGAATAATATTCACTTTATAAGGTATCTCTCCACTACACTGTTCCATGACCGTTACCGTATAGGCAGGAGCAATAAAATGTACCTTATCTTTATATATACAGGGTGGCTTTTCTAAGTGTATCCATTTTTTTATTAAATTCTAGACATATATAATGTTATAACACGCACATAAGTTCGTGCACAGTAAAATTTAGGTATTTATGAATGACTACCGCATTGTCAACACGTTCTGTTTTTTAGAGAATAGAATGGCATTTTTTTTGGAAAAAAAAAAACTTTGTTTTTTTATTTCAATAAACGATATACAACCGAGTTTGAACCTCCTGTGTGTGTTGAGCACTTCTCAAAAAACCTCCCTGTATAATTATTCTGTACGTGAGCATATCACAGAATTCCTCCTAAACGGCTAGACCGAGATTTTAATGATTTTTTTTTGTGTCTTTAAGTGGAGTCGAGAATGATTTAGTAGAATTTATAGACAAACTTATTCAAAAAGTTTGGAATTTTAGGATCTAAGATGTACAGGACAAAGTCTGTCAGGTCCGCTAGTTCTGTATATAACTAAGCTATGCCGAAAAGACCGTTCCGTCGTTGACTAAAACCGCTGCTTTGTGCCGCAAATAGCTTCATTCTGTGGTTCAGTGTAGTGGACGGACACCTCTATGCTGAAGTCGGCCGGTAAATTTTAAAAATCGCATAATCGCTAACTGCGAAGGTGCCATTTCCTCTCGACTTAACGAAGAGTAACTGTTCCACGGCGGTCGTGTTGCGGTCCGACAAAAAGGCCTCCGGTCACCATCTGGGGTCATTAAAAATGCATCAGCGCGCTTTAAAATATTTTATTAAATGTCGATTCACACCTTTGCCCCCGCTCGAGCGTGTATAAACGTTCATAGCCTTGATAGCGTATCATTTACGATGGCGGTTTAGTTTTTTGTCGTCTCGATCTCGCTTATAGATTATGAATTCCATAGAAACCTTCACTCGAGTGCTAACACCATCTTTAAAAGGTTTGTCTTTATTGGATGATTATCTCTGTAGGATGTTCTCGTCCGTGGATGTAACACGGCAGTAAGATGAGGTAAACGTCCAAACGAAATGTCCATAGAAATTCAATTCGCTTTTTTTAGTTCTTTTTTTTTTTTGAAATCTCTAATATATAAAATTTTCGTGTCACGGTGTTTGTAATTGAACTCCTTCGAAACGGCTTGACCGATTTTCGTGTTGAAATTTTGTGTGCATATCGGCCAGGGTGGAGAATCGGACAATATCTATTTTTCATCCCCCTAAATGTTAAGGGTGGTCCACCCCAAACATTTTTTTCTACCCTACAAATAATTTATATGGCAAAATAATATTTGCCAGGTCAGCTAGTTGTAATATAAAAGGCAAGTTGTTTCGTTGCTTTTTCTTTTTTTATAAACATTGCCCTCACTTTAGGATAACATTATCCTGTGTCGTAAGGAAGTTTTACAAACATAAATTGCACGAGGACAAACACCCAGATGCGAAACAACTATTTGTGGGTCGCACAAATAGTTATCCCGTGTGGGAATCGAACCCACGACCCCCGACGCCGAAGCCAATACCTTGGCAACTGCGCCACGGAGTCATCGATTTCATACAAGTATTTTATACAGTGATTGCCAAGTGTTTGAAACATCATAACCACCTTTAAAATCTTTTGATAATTTTACATTTTAGACCTTTTTTCTATTTTTATTTTCATACCATACATTCTTACATGCATACATACTTATATAAAGAATTGTACAAATAGTAGTACACAGCAT